TTCTCCAGTGCAGGTGATACCTTCTGAACAATAACGTCTTTGTGTTCCAACAGCTCCAGCACTTCAGTAGCTATGATACTGTTTATCTCGTATTGACCGAGTTGCCTGGCAGTGTCAAGGTCTGCTTATTGATATTGTGGCCCATTGTATGATGATCATTGGTGTAGCGATAGATTCAACTCAGATGTCATCCTGTTCTCTCTAACATCACCAGAGAGACTGATTTACAATATCACCTTGACATATTAGAGACAAAAGGCATTCAGGCAGTTACAAGGTTTTTTTCCAAATGCCTCTGAGACATTCCAGTTTGTAGTCACCATTTTAATACTGGGCCACAAAGGTCTGACAGTGGCATCCCGAACTAAAGCTGTCAACATACATTTAGATATGCATCTGTTAGATTCCTCATAAAGTGAGAACCGTTTTCAGATGCGATCTTAAATGGTTTCTCGAGTCCTATTTATTGAAATTTGTTTATAATAGCTCAATATAACATGTGTGATTGCGAGCAGTATTTGTCAAATAGATCCATCTGACCATAACTATAAGTGTACGAAAGTGCATCACATTATTGTAGATATGCTCCTGAAACTTTGTGAGAGTTTGCACCACTGATTGCTATTTCGGGATTAGTTTATGAGAAAATACACGTCTCAGAGTATAAAACATTATGCTTATCAGAACAGGAAATAATAAATATGTCTTGTGATTTATCTCAAAATTTCTAATTCTTTTCGATCAAGTTTGTTGATTAATGTGTTTTGATCATTCATGAATTTGCTGAAGGGATATGATGTACAGGGCTCCAGATAATCTTTCAACATCAGGAGTACGTACTCCTTATATTTTCAACAGAGGAGTACTGAAAACCTTAAGTGAGTGAGTGAGTGAGTTTAGTTTTACGCCGCACTCAGCAATAATCCAGCTATATGGCGACGGTCTGTAAATAATCGAGTCTGGACCAGACAATCCAGTGATCAACAGCATGAGCATCGATCTGCGCAATTGGGAACGGATGACATGTGTCAGCCAAGTCAGCGAGGCTGACCACCCGATCCCGTTAGTCACCTCTTACGACAAGCATAGTCGCTTAAGAGTACATTTAGAGTGGAATGGACATGGAATTTAATGGAGTATCAGTAATCTTGTGTTTCGTTTATTATATGCACCCCAACATTGCTACACTTATGTAAACAGGTCAATAAACAATAAAATAATACTTTTTCAGATAAATGCATCTGTAAATTATTCTAAGACCGTACACCATTGCTGTGGTGCGTATCTGCTACGTTTTCTAAATTATTTCCTACCGTATAGCTAATTTTTTTATCCGTACATACATCTGGAGCCCTGATGTACATGGAAATATATTCTCGTTTAGCCATACCAAACCTTATAGTTATAAAGAGGGGAATGGTTGATCGAGTGATCCGCACTTCCTATGTCCTCAGGGCAACATATTCATGGTCATACTAATGTAAGTAAGACTTATTTTTATCAGGGACAAGGTGTTAAAATGTATTGTGCCATGTGGGATTAATTGCTCCATAAGTTGTTTTCAGTGCGCCATTTTATATTTCAATGTGTGTATAGGGCAGGGGCATGATCCAAAAGATTGTATCCTCAATCTGCCAACTCCATGTGTTGAGTTATGTGTGCCTGACCACAGTGGCAGTGTGTGTGGAGAACATCCTCAGATATGTCCCCGTAGGCTGAGACTGGTGAATGTTGCTGCTCTCTTTCAGTTATTGATATTAATTACTGTGCTCTTGTTAGCATAAGTTACCATAGCAACTGATTAAAGTCGACTGACGGACAGTACCTGTTCAACACATGGATCTGTTGTGTGTGATTCTTGCTTGAATGAGAACCAGAGGTTTTCTTTTGACCATTTTCTGTCGTGGTGACAATTTCCCAGCTTGTTTCGAATGGTGTATTGTACACCATTTGTTGTCTATGAAGATAGATCGAGGTTTGGTGTGTGCTTCCCTCACCCAAGAGAGAGAACTGCACTTACAAACCTTCAGTGAAGTCATTACATTGTTTAGTTTGGACCTTCATTTTGTTGATAAACCTTGAATGTTGACAAGATCCTGATATCCTTGGTGTTTGGATTTCAAACCGAATGTGCAGGTCGTGCCTCCGTTGGGTGCACGAACAACCAATGGAAACTCCCCCTGTGCAACTGAAGCCATGTTCAACCAATGGCCGAACTCCCCCTGTATTGCAACTGTCTAGCCATGTTCCAACTACAGCATGGCCGAGGTATCGGTCTCCCTCTGGGGTGACCACTGTAACATGTATAAATGGTTAATCTATGCATACTATGCATGATGAGTATTGAGGAGTAGAAGGAAAGAGGTCTTCCTTTGAGATCCTGCTTAGTTTAATGTCCTTGATTTGTCAATAAATGTCTTGGGAAGATTTTAAAATTTCATGATTCTCTAATTTATTTGCATAGTGGCCTTTCCAAATAACCCAGACTTTAGATTTTATCCTTTACAATAGAAGTATATGTTACTTGTAATATTGATGTGATAAAAATTACAATAAGACAAGAAATGTAGAGTCTTCATTCTGACAGCCAAATGAACAAAAAAGATTATCACAGATAAATATTTTTCAAAGCTGTGGACATGAAGGTCACTACAGCAAATTCTTTGACAAGATTGAATAATCTGGCAGAATCTTGATCTGAAGTTAGAATCAGAAAAAAATAGTATTTGCATATTTTTTTATCAGTTTTTATGTTGCTCATAGTATCTGCTCCACTACAAGCATCAGGGAGCGAATTCCAAAGATTTATCATGTCTCGAAGATAACGTTTAGTGTATATTGTTCTGCAATCGCTAGTTTGCAACTTCTTACTATTTATCTGAGGATGTAACTGATAGCTTCTGAAACCCACGGTTGTACAAAACTATTGCTCATTTATTTGAAGTTGTCAATTTTCATAAAAAGTAATTTGTCGATCTTGCAGATTCGTGCATCTTCTTTCACTTCTTTCAAGTTTGATTCTTGCTATATCTTGTTGTGACTAGTAAACTAGTAGCTCCACATATGAATCATAGGGCATCAAGATCTTGAAGTATTTGTTCCTTTGTCTCAAATACAGCCCCACCCACTTCCAACTGTCGGCAAGATAAAAGAAATATGGAGTCTCTAGTGTTTTCCTATTAGGTCCATACTGAAGACTACTAGTCAAGCAGTCTATCATCAGACTTGCTTTATTAATGACTTCTTTAACCTGTTCCATTAACAGTCACTTTGGTGTACACGGCCTGGATGTTGGTGTAACTGGACAGTAGAACATTCAAGTTGAGATCTTGTTTTTGAATGGGTGTTGTTCTTTACCATATCAAAAATAATCTGTTCTGTAAGGATTCACTTGCCACTTTCAGCTCAGGTCAATATTCTACTCAGATGATTGTATTCCTATATCTCATGTTTGACATGTTATGGTGTTACGAGGGTAGTATGGAATCCTGGTTTGACTAGTTATGATGGTGACATATCTCCTGTCTTGAATAGGCTTGGATTTGTTTGCACATTATGAGTTACACACCTTGTTTGAACTGTAGTTATCATATGTTTTGATATTGGTGTGCTGGTGATGGTGGGATATATCTTGTATTGACTATTTACAGTGTTGTGATGGTGAAATATTTTACTAGTTACATTATTATGTTGTAATGGTGGGATTATAATGATGGGATATATCTTGTATTGACTAGTTACAATATTGCGATGATGGGATATATCTTGTATTGACTAGTTACAATGTTGCGATGATAGGATATATCTTGTATTGACTAGTTACAATATTGCGATGATGGGATATATCTTGTATTGACTAGTTACATGTTGTGATGGTGGGATATATCTTGTATTGACTAGTTACAATATTGCAATGATGGGATATATCTTGTATTGACTAGTTACAATATTGCGATGATGGGATATATCTTGTATTGATTAGTTACAATGTTGCGATGATAGGATATATCTTGTATTGACTAGTTACAATATTGCGATGATGGGATATATCTTGTATTGACTAGTTACATGTTGTGATGGTGGGATATATCTTGTATTGACTAAGTTACAATGTTGCGATGATAGGATATATCTTGTATTGACTAGTTACAATATTGCGATGATGGGATATATCTTGTATTGACTAGTTACATGTTGTGATGGTGGGATATATCTTGTATTGACTAGTTACAATATTACGATGATGGGATATATCTTGTATTGACTAGTTACAATGTTGCGATGATGGGATATATCTTGTATTGACTAGTTACATGTTGTGATGGTGGGATATATCTTGTATTGACTAGTTACAATATTACGATGATGGGATATATCTTGTATTGACTAGTTACAATGTTGCGATGATGGGATATATCTTGTATTGACTAGTTCCATGTTGTGATGGTGGGATATATCTTGTATTGACTAGTTACAATATTGCGATGATGGGATATATCTTGTATTGACTAGTTACAATGTTGTGATGGTGGGATATATCTTGTATTGACTAGTTACAATGTTGTGATATAGCTTGTATTGACTAGTTTATGCAATGTTTGATGGTGAGATATATCTTGTATTGACTAGTTACAATGTTGTGATATAGCTTGTATTGACTAGTTTATGCAATGTTTGATGGTGGGATATATCTTGTATTGACTTGTTACAATGTTTTGATGGTGGGATATATCTTGTATTGACTAGTTACAATGTTGTGATGGTGGGATGTATCTTGTATTGACTTGTTACAATGTTTTGATGGTGGGATATATCTTGTATTGACTAGTTACAATGTTGTGATGGTGGGATGTATCTTGTATCGTCTGGTTATAATGTTATGATTGTGGGATACATCTTGTATTGACTAGTTACAATGTTATGGTAGTGGGATATATACATGTATCTTGTATTGACTAGTTACAATGTATTGATGGTAAAATATCTCCTTTTGTGACCAGTTACAATGATGCAATGGTGAGGTGATCTGTCTGCCAGAGTAGACCATGATGGCAGCTAAAGGTGACGAACATACCAGAACTTTGCACTTCAAGAATGAAAGCCACGATGATAGAATCAACAAAAACTCAACTAAATCCATTAAAGGGGATATAAATTACTCTGACACAAAACGCTTGAGTAGGTTGTTGTCATGGCGCTGTGTTCTGTCCCACCCAAGACCCGTCACTGGTGAGGTGAAGTTTGATGACTTAGTTCCGTTCTGTCTCAACCTGAAGAAGGTGGATGGAATTGTGAGCCCGGCGGCTGCAGCAGCGGTAAGTGGGACAACTGTCATCAGTTTAAGGTGTTGGCCATATCAGGACTGTAATGAGGCTTTGTTTAGAACCTGGAGTTGTGATCTTCACCACTGAGATCACAAGCAATGTTGGTGATTTGACTGTCGTACTCCATACTTATAACATAAAACAACATCAAGAAAGAAGGTGTGATTCTGTCAGTGTTAGTGTCATTGTTTGTTTTTGTTGCAGCTTGTGAACACCCGGGCAGAATACCAGCTGTCTGTCAGTCTCTACGATGTGGCGTTCCGGCAGTTCTGTGGCCGACAGTGGCTGGGACCCACAATGGCAGGGAGAGGGGGAGCCACCAGTCTGCCCAAGTTACAATATAACCAGGTACTCAGTCTGCCAAAGTTACAATATAACCAGGTACTCAGTCTGCCCAAGTTACAATATAACCAGGTACTCAGTCTGCCCAAGTTACAATATAACCAGGTGGATGGTCTGCCCAAGTTACAATATAACCAGGTCATTGGTTTGCCCAAGTTTCAAACTAAACAGGTCATTCGGTTGCCCAAGTTACAATCTAGCCAGGTCATTGGTTTGCCCAAGTTTCAATCAATAAAGGTCATTGGTTTGCCCAAGTTACAATATAACCAGGTCATTGGTTTGCCCAAGTTACAATATAACCAGGGCATTGGTTTGCCCAAGTTTCAAACTAAACAGGTCATTCGGTCGCCCAAGTTTCAAACTAAACAGGTCATTCGCTTTTGCCAGGTACTCAGCCAGTACTGCTGCCAAGTTACAATATAACCAGGTACTCAGTCTGCCCAAGTTACAATATAACCAGGTACTCAGTCTGCCCAAGTTACAACATAACCAGGTGGATGGTCTGCCCAAGTTACAATATCACCAGGTCATTCGGTTGCCCAAGTTACAATCTAGCCAGGTCATTGGTTTGCCCAAGTTTCAATCAATAAAGGTCATTGGTTTGCCCAAGTTACAATATAACCAGGTCATTGGTTTGCCCAAGTTACAATATAACCAGGTCATTGGTTTGCCCAAGTTTCAAACTAAACAGGTCATTCGGTTGCCCAAGTTACAATCTAGCCAGGTCATTGGTTTGCCCAAGTTTCAATCAATAAAGGTCATTGGTTTGCCCAAGTTTCAATCTACAAAGGTCATTGGTTTGCCCAAGTTACAATATAACCAGGGCATTGGTTTGCCCAAGTTACAATATAACCAGGGCATTGGTTTGCCCAAGTTACAATATAACCAGGGCATTGGTTTGCCCAAGTTACAATATAACCAGGGCATTGGTTTGCCCAAGTTACAATATAACCAGGGCATTGGTTTGCCCAAGTTACAATATAACCAGGGCATTGGTTTGCCCAAGTTACAATATAACCAGGGCATTGGTTTGCCCAAGTTTCAATATAACCAGGGCATTGGTTTGCCCAAGTTTCAATATAACCAGGGCATTGGTTTGCCCAAGTTTCAATATAACCAGGTCATTGGTTTGCCCAAGTTACAATATAACCAGGTCATTATTTGCCCAAGTTTGCCCAGGGCATTGGTTTGCCCAAGTTACAATATAACCAGGGCATTGGTTTGCCCAAGTTTCAATCTAAAAAGGGCATTGGTTACCCCAAGTTCCAATCTAATCAGGTCATTGTACAATTATTGTACAACACAGAAGTTGATCATCCTTGTCATTCCGTTTGCTCACATCTTCTAGAATGCCTCTCAAACAGCACAAATAACGGACAATTAAATGGGATTCCATGTGCTAAATATTTTTACTATGAATGTTATTTGAATAATGTTGTAACTATGGAGCAAGAAGGTACACACTCTAGTTTAATAAGGACCACATATTTTGGTCCCACAAGATGTATGAAGACCAAAGAAAGTGAAAAGTAAAGTGTGTGTTGCTCCGCTCTGTGTCAGAATATAGTCAGTGCATGTGGAGAGACTGCCACAGTATTCTCATGTGCTTTCAGCAAGGCATACATGATGCTTCCACAGGAAGTGTTCTTGCAACAGGTCATGCAGCAATTTTTCCACCACCTCTTTTCAACAGGTAGTGTCTGCAAAAGTGTGCAACAGTATGTGAAGTGATTTAGATTTGTCACTGTAAGTTTGCATTGTTTTACAGTGAATTCTATGACACTACAGTAGATTCAGTGTGTTACAGTTTGTTACAACTTGTTGCCTGTTACATTGAATGAGCTTTGTTTCAGCACGTCTACTTTCACACATGTATCACCAACATCAGCCTGGTTGCGGTGGTTGAGATTATCGCTCACACGTACGATGACTCGGGACAGCGCCAGGCTGTGGCATGTGGCTGGGGCTTCATCAGGCCCTTCAAGAACAATGATGAGCTGCCAGACTCAGCACGGAACATCCAGCTGACAACCCAGCAAAAGCACCCACATCGTTGTTTATGAAACTTCGATTCTAATGATTGTGAATTAAAATTCATGATTGGATATGGTTCATTTCCTACAGTGAGGTTTTTCACAAGGACCTGACTTATAACCAGCTTTTTCTGTACAGTGATGAATTCATTCCATATCAATCTAAGATGTAGGTTCAAATACCAAGTGATCGCCTCAGTATGTTCCGTGAAATTCAGCACCAAGTTTTCATTGCACAGTGGTAGTATGTTAGGTCAGCACCTGCAGTTGTAGGGGACTCTGTTGCAGCTTTTCTCACACATCAATCTGACTTTTGCTGACAAGCTGATTTAACTGTTAGAACCTACACCTGTAATTAGGAAGCTGTTCATCCATATATTGTTTAGATTCCTTTCGGATTTAACTGAAGTAGTGTTCAAAGCATAGACAAATGGTATAAGGGCTGCTTCTGTTTAGGCCGTGCATTTTATTTGACTGATTGTAGTTGTGGGCGTCTGTAGCATGGACTGAGGATGTACATAAGAGTGTTATGTTGCAGGATTGAGATGTATTACGGATCACCCAGAGCCCTGCTGTTCATGGACGACCCGCTGGAGAGTAAGTGTCTTTCAGTATTCTCCAACCTTTCCCAGTACTTCCCCATATTTCCCATTAATATTCCTTACATTTGCCTACATATACAGAACCACTAAAGAAATGTCGCACTGATAGCGGTTTCTTACAGAAACACACGTTAATTAACTCTAATTAACAATCAAAACAGAGGATTTAGTTCAAACTTGACAATTCTGATTACATGTGATTCCTGAAAATGTGTTAGAGTTCACACAAACAAAATCACCAAAAATGGTACCATTAAGATACCCCAAAATCAGTATTGTGTGTGGCCTCCATGAAAGTGTTGCAATGTCTGTACATAGCATGAATTAGCCGGTTGATGAAGGCCATAGTCCCTTGGATCCATACTGTGTGAAATGCCTGATCGAGGCCAGCCGCAGTTGTCGGCCTTGGATGGAGGTGATTCAGTCTTCTTTGAATCTAGTCCCAAAGGTGTTCTATTGGACTAAAATCTGGACTGAGAGCAGGCTATTGTAGGGTTTTGATGCCATGTTGTCTTCGAAAGTCTAATCTTACTCTGGCAATGTGGGATGAGCATTGTCTTGCTAGAAGATGTGATTTCTGTAACGACCAAAACGTGGTACAGCATGGGGTCAGTATAGCGAGCAGCTGCCATTTCCTCATCCTGGACCGTGGTTCTGGAACACCACGGTGTCAACTAACTGGTTTGGACCGATTGCATCCCACACCATGATGCTTGGACCATTCCACGAGTCTCTTTCAACAATACACTCATTGGAAAACAGTTCCCCACACGCTTCACTATACTCTCACTCTGCCCACAACTGTTGAAACACAATATTGGCTTTCATGAGGTAAAAGCACAGTTCTCCATTGTCGATGGCGCGAAATTTTCGATGCTGAGTTGCCCATTGCCCATTGTTTTGGCGGTTATGAGAGTTGAGGACAGGACAATGATATGGTCTGTGACAGCAGAGGCTTCTTCTGCACAGACGTTGATGCACTGTATCGGCACTGATGGGTCTGTTGTGAGTCCCAGTGGTCTGGCATGCCGTTTCCATCACTCTAGGGAAGCGATCCTTCAGATGGTTACTCAGAATCTGTCTGTCTTGACGTTATGATGTTACTGAAGGTCCATGCACCATGTCTGCCTTGTTCGGTGCGTTTGGTCGATATGGTTTTTCATCAGAAAACACACTGATGTTGGTAATAACTGTCAGTTTGGATTGAAAAACATTTTAACAAAATAGTACAATCATAATGCAAACACCACCAAAAACAAAATTTTGCATTTGGTTTTGCAAGGCGACGTTTCTTTTGTGGTTCAGTATACTTTCCCCTCATAGTCCATGATTTCACTGTTCATATCCCCTATACTCCTCCATAACTTTGCACCTGAATATCTCCATATATTCTTAATTGTATATCTCCTTACATTCTCACAGGGTCTGTATTCCTCACATTTACATCCACGCTTCTATATTTTGAAATATTCTCACCTGTGTTTTTTCCCATAATTTCACCTGTATTTCTCTCTTTACCTCACTTGTATTTCTTCATTTATTGTATCATTGTAACAGAGGTATTCGTATACACTGTATGTTGGTTCAATGAAGACGAACACTTGTGTGGGGTTTCAGGGATTTATTCGGTGCTGGTGACGGGGATAAGGAGATCCCCAGTTTACTGAACAGTAACACAAAACGCCCTGAATAATAAAATATCCATCAATTTATACATGTCTCTTGTAATGAAATGCGTATCATGTTATACATTCAATATGGTTACCACTATGCTATTAATACATCTGATAACTGTCAATCATCCAGACTCTTGCTTGACAATGGTACAAGAATCTGTATTGAAACGTCGCACTCATGAAATAAAGAAGTTGTTATCCATAAAAACTTGTTCCACATCCAGATTTAAGGAAAGACATGTACTCTGATTATTACTTACATATATAACAATTATAATTACTAATAGCTACAATCACATTCTGAAAACAATACCTCACCTCGTCTCGGGACGCAGGCAGAATAGTCCAACAGCTAATTAAACATCTGATTCTCAGTGAACCTAAATAAACAAAGTATTGCCTAAGTATACTGCTAGTATATACAGATATACATGATAAATGACATTAGCATACACATAAATAGTTATTTACCCTAATACATACATAAATATGCATATAGAAATTAAACCTTATAATAAACATGCATGATACACATTACTGTATCATGCCAATCATGAAATAGCTAATACATATACTTATACATACTACATATGCATGGTACAAATTACAGCATCATGGTAGTATAAAATACCCTACTGTTCAGTATACTAGTGTACTGGTACACAATACATCATATATTTGCCTAAATACTAAGCAAGCACATATTTATAGACAAGCACCTAACATACACTAAATATGATAAAACACTATTCCTTAAAACATGTAATCTAATACACTAAATCCTAATAGCCCTACTATACATGTAATACTAAAAGATCTAACTTAACTTACCCCATAATGTGCTGGTGCTGTGCAGGTATTGTGGTCTCAAGGAGAAAATGTATACTGCCACAAATGAAAGGCAGTAGAAGGCTTTAAATATGACGAGAAGGTGAAATCTATGAAACAAAAGGAACCTTGACAACAGGCCAATGTAGAGATTGAACCTGACACAGATCACTTAACCTTAACAATAGACCCCAAGCTAGCTTACCAGTGAGTTAGTTAAACAGTGCAGGTGTTAGTGTTAACACAGGCCAGTTTGGTAATGATTAAGTTTTATACCTAAGTTTAAAATAATGAAGTTTAACACATTAAAATGACATTTATTTACACACTGTTACATCATTCTGTCCAGTGTTACATGGAGTTGACTGTGGTGTTGTAACATTTTCCTGTGTTACATGGAGTTGGCTGTGGTGTTGTAGCATTCTCCCATGTTACATGGAGTTGACTGTGGTGTTGTAACATTTTCCTGTGTTACATGGAGTTGACTGTGGTGTTGTAACATTCTCCCGTGTTACATGGAGTTGACTGTGGTGTTGTAACATTTCCCCAAAAGCATTCTCCTGTGTTGTAACATGGATGGTGTTGACTGTGGTGTTGTAACATTCTCCCGTGTTACATGGAGTTGACTGTGGTGTTGTAACATTCTCCCTCGTTAATGTTACATGGAGTTGACTGTGGTGTTGTAACATTCTCCCGTGTTACATGGAGTTGACTGTGGTGTTGTAACATTCTCCCGTGTTACATGGAGTTGACTGTGTTGTAACATTCTCCCATGGAGTTGACTGTGGTGTTGTAACATTCTCCCGTGTTACATGGAGTTGACTGTGGTGTTGTAACATTTTCCCGTGTTACATGGAGTTGACTGTGGTGTTGTAACATTCTCCCGTTGTTACATGGAGTTGACTGTGTTGTTGTAACATTCTTCTGTGTTACATGGAGTTGACTGTGGTGTTGTAACATTCTCCCATGTTACATGGAGTTGACTGTGTTGTTGTAACATTCTTCCTGTGTTACATGGAGTTGACTGTGGTGTTGTAACATTCTCCCGTGTTACATGGAGTTGACTGTGTTGTTGTAACATTCTCCCGTGTTACATGGAGTTGACTGTGTTGTTGTAACATTCTCCCGTGTTACATGGAGTTGACTGTGATGTTGACTGTCCCCGTGTTGTAACATTTTCCTGTGTTACATGGAGTTGACTGTGGTGTTGTAACATTCTCCCGTGTTGACTGTGGTGTTGTAACATGGAGTTGACTGTGGTGTTGTAACATTCTCCCGTGTTACATGGAGTTGACTGTGGTGTTGTAACATTCTCCCGTGTTACATGGAGTTGACTGTGGTGTTGTAACATTCTCCCATGTTACATGGAGTTGACTGTGGTGTTGTAACATTCTCCCATGTTACATGGAGTTGACTACATGGAACATTCTCCGTGTTACATGGAGTTGACTGTGTTGTTGTAACATTCTCCCATGTTACATGGAGTTGACTGTGGTGTTGTAACATTCTCCCGTGTTACATGGAGTTGACTGTGGTGTTGTAACATTCTCCCGTGTTACATGGAGTTGACTGTGGTGTTGTAACATTCTCCCTTACATGGAGTACATGGAGTTGACTGTGGAGTTGACTGTGGTGTTGTAACATTCTCCCTTGTTACATGGAGTTGAATGTGGTGTTGTAATATTCTCCCGTGTTACATGGAGTTGACTGTGTTGTTGTAACATTCTTCCGTGTTACATTGAGTTGACTGTGGTGTTGTAACATTCTCCCATGTTACATGGAGTTGACTGTGTTGTTGTAACATTCTTCCGTGTTACATTGAATTGACTGTGTTGTTGTAACATTCTTCCGTGTTACATGGAGTTGACTGTGGTGTTGTAACATTCTCCCATGTTACATGGAGTTGACTGTGTTGTTGTAACATTCTCCGTGTTACATGGAGTTGACTGTGGTGTTGTAACATTCTGGAGTCGACTTTGTGTTGTAACATCCTGTGTTACATGTGTTGTGTTGTTTTAACATTCCCCCATTTAACTGTGAATTTACTGTTGTGTTTTAACATTCCCCAAGTTAACTGTGAATTATCTGTGGTGTTTTAACATTCCCCCATTTAACTGTGAATTATCTGTGGTGTTTTAACATTCCCCCATTTAACTGTGAATTAACTGTGGTGTTTTAACATTCCCCCCATTTAACTGTGAATTAACTGTGGTGTTTTAGCATTCCCCCATTTAACTGTGGATTAACTGTAGTGTTTTAACATTCCCCAATTTAACTGTGAATGAACTGTTGTGTTAAAGCATTCCCCATGTGATGTGGAGTTAACTATTTCAGGCAACCAGTTGCTGAAGCCGATCACAGGATGTCAGCTGAGCTGCACTGTTGCGACCCACAAGTCCATGCTGAGAGTCATGAACCTGATCCCAGAGAATGTCATTGTTAGCGGGAAGGATGTCATCCCTGGAGTGGTGGATGACCAAACTGCAGGTGGGATGTGGACAGTAATTCTTACAAATACGTCCCTCTAATGCTTGATTGCCTTTTTCCCTGAAAAGTGTTTCTGAATCCACAGGTTGGCTTAAATAGATTGTCCTAGGATTGTGTTGTCATTTTTCCATCATAGGTGCGAGGAAACCTCATATTCTTTTTCAGGTTTGTTTTCTGTCTCACATTCTTACTTTCTTCTAAGGTTTGGCAATTTGGTTCTCTGTCAAAGTGAGTACATTTAAAGGCACAAGCTTGTGCTGGCTGTGGCAAACTTATATCTTCCCATTATCTACATTCAAACTGTTGGAAATGCATGCCCATGTCATGTTCTTTTGTATCTCATTGTGACAACGCTTGTGTCAGACACTTTCTCCTGAAGCTTTTGATAAACATGCTATGGTCATTTAAACATTTCAAGAGGAAAAGTTCTTAAAGATTCCCCAGACTCATTCCCCTTGGAGCCACATCATTGTAATGTCATCATCTAGTCAATCGATTTATCGTTGACTGAAAGTGACGTTATGTGATGACTAATTTTAGAGTATTTTTACTACAACCAATCACAGTTTGTTTTCTGATCTGTCAAAACTTAGTCACTGTCATTTGTTGTTGTCTTCCATGCTTATGTTGGGGGTACTCTTAGCCCACCAAGCCTTACATGGGAATCGGTAGTCAAATGTTAGATAAGGATTATTAAATAATACTTAGTATACTGCCTCTAACACTGGAGGCCACCTGTCCATCCCCCTGGGGTCCTGAGTACCTTACACCTATGGTACCTGAGGAAAATTGTTAGAGGTAGTAGATTCTAGTACCTTACAAGTTGAACCTGGTTAAAGGCAGTATGTTTGTGGTAGTAGTGATCTGCTGTAAGAGTGAGTGAAGTGTAGTTAGTTCTTCCATTATCCTAAGCCTGTGTTATTGTATGGGACCTACTATCATGTCAGCTCTACCACTGACCAGTTGTCTGATGATGTTCAGGGGCAGACAAGTTGAAGCGGCCAAAGATGTTGCGCACTGTGCCGATGCAACTAGAGGGTGTGTTTGTGCACCTGCAGCCAAATATGGACATGTTCGAGACAGAACTGTGTACCCTGCTGCAGGATGATCGGGCAATCCGAGAGAAGAAGACGCTGGAAGATGCACCCCCTGTCACAGTCATAGAGAGGCGATTACAGGTAGGTGCTCTTAAAGACAAAGGTACACAACATGGCTGGTGGTGATTTGTGATGAAATATGAAAAATTCATAGAGAAAAGTAAAGGTGTCTATTGGCCATGGTTACCGTACACCTAGTTGATTATTATAGGTGTACACTACTCATGATTGTTTACCCTATAAACACCTATACCCTATATTGCAGGTTGGTGTTCACAATGGCTGGTGTTACGTGGAAAAGCCTCAGACCTTCCATCTAGAGAGTCTCAGCAGCTCATCACGGAAACCCACAGCCAGCCCTAGCTTCCGCAGCAGTAGCATGTTTACACACAGAAGAACTGGCTCTACAGGGTCAAGGTCAGTAACATAATCACACACAGGATGAATGGCCCTATAGGGTCAAGGTCAGTAGCATGTTCACACACAAGAGCAGCTCTACAGGGTCAAGGGCAGTAGCATTTACACACAGAGAAGAACTGGCTCTACATGGTCATGGTCAGTAGCATGTTCACACACAAGAGCAGCTCTACAGGGTCAAGGTCAGTAGCATGTTCACACACAGGAGCAGCTCTACAGGGTCATGGTCAGTAGCATGTTCACACACAAGAGCAGCTCTAAGGGTCAGGGTCATGGTCAGTCAGCATGTTCACACACACAGGAGCAGCTCTACAGGGTCATGGTCAGTAGCATGTTCACACACACAGGAGCAGTAGCCTCTACAGGGTCATGGTCAGTAGCATGTTCACACACAAGAGCAGCTCTACAGGGTCATGGTCAGTAGCATGTTCACACACAGGAGCAGCTCTACAGGGTCATGGTCAGTAGCATGTTCACACACAGAGCACCTCTACAGGGTCATGGTCAGTAGCATGTTCACACACACAGGGTCATGGTCAGCATCTTCACACACAAGAGGTCATGGTCAGTAGCATGTTCACACACAAGAGCAGCTCTACAGGGTCATGGTCAGTGGCATGGTCACACAGCATGTCTCACACACAGGAGCAGCTCTTCACAGGGTCACAGGTCTACAGGGTCATGGTCAGTAGCATGTTCACACACAAGAGCAGCTCTACAGGGTCATGGTCAGTAGCATGTTCACACACAGGAGCAGCTCTACAGGGTCATGGTCAGTAGCATGTTCACACACAGGAGCAGCTCTACAGGGTCATGGTCAGTAGCATGTTCACACACAGGAGAGCAGCCTCTACAGGGTCATGGTCAGTAGCATGTTCACACACAAGAGCAGCCTCTACAGGGTCATGGTCAGTAGCATGTTCACACACAGGAGAGCACCTCTACAGGGTCATGGTCAGTAGCATGTTCACACACAGGAGCAGCTCTACAGGGTCATGGTCAGTAGCATGTTCACACACAAGAGCAGCTCTACAGGGTCATGGTCAGTAGCATGTTAAGCACACACACAGGAGCACCTCTACAGGGTCATCTACATGTTCACACAGGGCTCACAGGGTCATGGTCAGTAGCATGTTCACACACAAGAGCAGCTCTACAGGGTCAAGGTCAGTAGCATGTTCACACACAGGAGCACCTCTACAGGGTCATGGTCAGTAGCATGTTCACACACAAGAGCAGCTCTACAGGGTCATGGTCAGTAGCATGTTCACACACAGGAGCACCTCTGGTCAGTAGCATGTACAGGGTCACAGGTCAGTAGCATGTTCACACACACAGGGTCATGGTCAGTAGCATGTTCTCTACAGGGTCATGGGTCATGGTCAGTAGCATGTTCACACACAAGAGCAGCTCTACAGGGTCAAGGTCAGTAGCATGTTCACACACAGGAGCACCTCTACAGGGTCATGGTCAGTAGCATGTTCACACACAAGAGCACCTCTACAGGGTCAAGGTCAGTAGCATGTTCACACACAAGAGCAGCTCTACAGGGTCATGGTCAGTAGCATGTTCACACACAGAAGCACCTCTACAGGGTCATGGTCAGTAGCATGTTCACACACAGGAGCAGCCTCTACAGGGTCATGGTCAGTAGCATGTTCACACACAGGAGCACCTCTACAGGGTCAAGGTCAGTAGCATGTTCACACACAGGAGCACCTCTACAGGGTCAAGGTCAGTAGCATGTTCACACACAGGAGCAGCTCTACAGGGTCATGGTCAGTAGCATGTTCACACACAAGAGCACCTCTACAGGGTCATGGTCAGTAGCATGTTCACACACAAGAGCACCTCTACAGGGTCAAGGTCAGTAGCATGTTCACACACAAGAGCACCTCTACAGGGTCAAGGTCAGTAGCATGTTCACAAAAATGAGTTATTGCTGTGCAGGGTCAAGGTAAGCCACATGTTTGCACACTGGAAGACAAGCTCTGCATAATATGTTGTGATACTTATTGTTTAACATTTTGTTTCAAGAAAGTTTTACTTTAAGGTTTTGTTTACAGATGTCCTTGAGCTTTGCCCGTGCACACACCCGAACTGTGTCTGTCAGATGGGCAGCAGTTAGCCCATTTCAACACCCTAACAAGCGAGACATTACAATTTCTCTAATTGGAGGACCTCACCGATCACCTGATGAAGGCTTTGTCTACAAGATGCCATCAACAGACATGCAGGACAATGAAGCTGCTAGGTTAGCTGGAGGGTACATCTTCCTGCAGTGGTCCACTGATGCAAAGGTAAGTGAATGATTATTAGGTTGGTGGGGGTAACATCATCCTGTAGTGGTCCACTGGAGCCACTTTGTTAGTGAAGGTTACATCTTCCTGTAGTGGTCTATTGGAGCCACTAGGTGGGTGGGGTTACATCTGCCTGTATTGGTCTACTGGAGCCAGTAGGTGGGTGGGGTTACATCTTCCTGCAGTGGTCCACTGGAGCCACTTTGTTGGTGAACGTTACATCTTCCTGTATTGGTCTATTGGAGCCACTAGGTGGTGGGGGGTTACATCTTCCTGTATTGGTCTATTGGAGCCACTAGGTGGTTGGGGGTTACATCTTCCTGCAGTGGTCCACTGGAGCCACTAGGTGGTTTGGGGTTACATCTTCCTGTAGTGGTCCACTGGAGCCACTAGGTGGTTTGGGGTTACATCTTCCTGTAGTGGTCCACTAGAGCCACTAGGTGGTTTGGGGTTACATCTTCCTGTAGTGGTCCACTGGAGCCACTAGGTGGTTGGGGGTTACATCTTCCTGTAGTGGTCTATTGGAGCCACTAGTGGGTGGAGGTTACATCTTCCTGCAGTGGTCCACTGGAGCCACTAGGTGGTTGGGGGTTACATCTTCCTGTAGTGGTCTATTGGAGCCACTAGTGGGTGGAGGTTACATCATCCTGCAGTGGTCCCCTGGAGCCACTAGGTGGTTGGGGGTTACATCTTCCTGTAGTGGTCTATTGGAGCCACTAGGTGGATGGGGGTTACATCCCCTGGTGCCACTTTGTTGGTGGGGGTTACATCTTCCTGCAGTGGTCCACTGGTGCCATTTTGTTGGTGGGGGTTACATCTTCCTCAAGTGGTCCACTGGTGCCACTAGGTGGGTGAAGGTTACATCTTCCTGTATTGGTCCACTGGAGCCACTAGGTGGGTGGGGGTTACATCTTCCTGGTGTAGTCCACTGGAGCCCCTTTGTTGGTGGGGGTTACATCTTCCTCCAGTGGTCCACTGGAGCCACTAGGTGGGTGGAGGTTACATCTTCCTGGTGTAGTCCACTGGAGCCCCTTTGTTGGTGGGGGTTACGTCTTCCTCCAGTGGTCCACTGTAGCCACTAGGTGGGTGGGGGTTACATCTTCCTGTAGTGGTCCACTGGTGCCCCTTTGTTGGTGGGGGTTACGTCTTCCTCCAGTGGTCCACTGTAGCCACTAGGTGGGTGGGGGTTACATCTTCCTGTAATGGTCCACTGGTGCCCCTTTGTTGGTGGGAGTTACGTCTTCCTCCAGTGGTCCACTGGAGCCACTAGGTGGGTGGGGGTTACATATTCCTGTAGTGGTCCACTGGTGCCCCTTTGTTGGTGGGGGTTACGTCTTCCTCCAGTGGTCCACTGGAGCCACTAGGTGGGTGGGGGTTACATCTTCCTGGTATAGTCCACTGGAGCCCCTTTGTTGGTGGGGGTTACGTCTTCCTCCAGTGGTCCACTGTAGCCACTAGGTGGGTGGGGGTTACATATTCCTGGTGTAGTCCACTGGTGGCCCTTTGTTGGTGGGGGTTACGTCTTCCTCCAGTGGTCCACTGTAGCCACTAGGTGGGTGGGGGTTATATCTTCCTGTAGTGGTCCACTGGAGCCACTAGGTGGGTGGAGGTTACATCTTCCTGTAGTGGTCCACTGGTGCCCCTTTGTTGGTGGGGGTTACGTCTTCCTCCAGTGGTCCACTGTAGCCACTAGGTTGGTGGGGGTTACATCTTCCTGAAGTGGTCTACTGGAGCCACTAGGTGGGTGGAGGTTACATATTCCTGTAGTGGTCCACTAGTGCCACTTTGTTGGTGAAGGTTACATCTTCCTGGTGTAGTCCACTGGAGCCCCTTTGTTGGTGGGGGTTACGTCTTCCTCCAGTGGTCCACTGTAGCCACTAGGTGGGTGGGGGTTACATCTTCCTGGTGTAGTTCACTGGAGCCCCTTTGTTGGTGGGGGTTACGTCTTCCTCCAGTGGTCCACTGTAGCCACTAGGTGGGTGGGGGTTACATCTTCCTGGTGTAGTCCACTGGAGCCCCTTTGTTGGTGGGGGTTATGTCTTCCTCCAGTGGTCCACTGTAGCCACTAGGTGGGTGGGGGTTACATCTTCCTGGTGTAGTCCACTGGTGCCCCTTTGTTGGTGGGTGGGGTTACGTCTTCCTCCAGTGGTCCACTGTAGCCACTAGGTGGGTGGGGGTTACATCTTCCTGTAGTGGTCCACTGGAGCCACTAGGTGGGTGGGGGTTACATCTTCCTGCAGTGGTCCACTGGAGCCACTAGATGGGTGGGCAGAGGCCCAGATAAGCTGCGTATCCGGGTAAAATACGCATAGAAAATTCCCAATTACGCAATAAAATTCCCAATTACGCAAAAATAATTATTACGTACTAATTACGCATTTAAAATGTTAGATACGCAAAAAGTTTAAAACAAATGCGTACGGAATATATTTATAAAAATCGCTTGCGTAATGAAAAAGAAATCGATTGCTATTAAGTTGTACTGTTAGTAAAGGACAAGTGTTGTACTGTCAGTATAGGATGAGTGATTTTTTATGAAATCATTTCCATTATATTTAAGTTGGTTTTGATTAGGTATGACATAAGGCAGAACATACTTGCTTAGTAAACTTACTCAATGACATAATACTTAGGTGAGTAAAATGACTGAAATACGCACATATTTGAAAGCAGTGGGTAACGGAAAATGAAATACCCACTCAACATTCATAATACCCACTCCAAAAAAATACAGTGGGCACAGTACCCACATGAGCTAAATCTTATCTGGAGCTCTGGGTGGGGGTTACATCTTCCTGCAGTGGTCCACTGGTGCCTCTTTGTTGGTGGGGGTTACGTCTTCCTCCAGTGGTCCACTGGAGCCACTAGGTGGGTGGGGGTTACATATTCCTGCAGTGGTCCACTGGAGCCACTAGGTGGGTGGAGGTTACATATTCCTGGTGTAGTCCACTGGTGCCACTAGGTGGTTGGGGGTTACATATTCCTGTAGTGGTCCACTGGTGTCACTTTGTTGGTGGAGGTTACATCTTCCTGGTGTAGTCCACTTGTGCCCCTTTGTTGGTGGGGGTTACGTCTTCCTGCAGTGGTCCACTGGAGCCACTAAGTTGGTGGGGGGTTACATATTCCTGCAGTGGTCCACCAATGCCTCCTGTTTGATCTTACCTTGCAGGACATGTTGATGCTGCCGACAGGTTCTCCACGAGGTATGAGTCTTCCCCTAGGCTCCATGCCATCAGTCCGTAGCCAGGACAGTGGAGGAGAGCTGGACCTGGCCTGGAAGCCGCCCACAGGGAGATCCAAGTAAGACAAGTATTGATGTTTGTGTCATCAACAAAGGAGTGCCCTATTTCGATCATTCCCACGCGTTCACTTAACTGAGTACTTATTACAGGAACCAAGTAACAGGATTAGACTTACATTGCAGCTTGATGAATGAATTTGTTTTGTGAATTTAATCTTGTTCTAATGTTGAAGTGTTTTTGTTGTTTAATCCATGTCATTAGTTTCTGATCATGATGGAATTTGTCAATACATTCCATGACCTGCATCTGTAATGTGTTGAGGGATTTCACAAAATGTGCCCAGATGTTTCAAGATATGGTACTCATTGTTATTTCAGGGATGGGTAGGGATTTGAACAGAATGTAACTGTACCAGCCATTGGCAATGCATTTGTACCTTATGTACTTTTGATGCCACTGAGAACTTGTATCGTGATTCTTGCAACGGTATCATCAGTATTACAGAATAGTGTTTCCTTAGTATGCCTGTTTCCAATCTCTGTAGTAAGAAAGGGATACGCACATGTTTATAAGTAAGGTAAACAGTTGGTGCTCTTGTGTCTGCTGCCTAACATCCCTGCTTGAAAATTCGCCAGTCCCTCATTCTCTCACGCCACATTCTCTACCACCACCTGTAGTTCCCAGGGGTATGCGAGCCAGACAGCAGGATACCAGGTGTTGCCGGGGGGACCACGCTCCTTCCCACCCAGTGAACCGGGGGCTCAACATGCAGCCCTGCCCAGAGATCATTTGCCTTATACGTAAGACATGTGTCATGCACTAACACATGTGTCTGTGTCCCCTGCCTTTGACCACTTTATATGTGTCCTGAATTAACACATTTCTGTCACAGCATGCACACCCACCCCATGTGTGTCCTACACTAACTTGTGTCTTTGTCCTCCATCCCACCACATGTTAACTTTGTGCTTGTATTGACCTCTCAGCCCTCTTGGGTCAGTTTATTCTTTTCTCTTCCTAATACCTGACATGTGTTATCCTGTTAAATGGCATCTGTTGTAGCAGCAGTTATCTGTTGGTGGATGACAAGTCAATATGGTCAGATGCAAAGAGCAAATGTGTACTCATGTGCATGTAATGCCACCTGACACCTGACACCTCTGTTAGAGGATGTGGTCAAGAGTTTGGTGCTTGTTTGTATCTAACCAGTGTTTAATGTATCCCCAGATTGTGGATTGTGTGTCTGTGACTGCTGAGTGGATTCCCAGATTGTGGATTGTGTGTCTGTGACTGCTGAGTGTATTCCCCAGATTGTGGATTGTGTGTCTGTGACTGCTGAGTGTATCCCCAGATTGTGGATTGTGTGTCTGTCACTGCTGAGTGTATCCCCAGATTGTGGATTGTGTGTCTGTCACTGCTGAGTGTATTCCCAGATTGTGGATTGTGTGTCTGTCACTGCTGAGTGTATCCCCAGATTGTGTGGATTGTGTGTCTTGTGGATTGTGTGTCTCACTGCTGAGTGTATCCCCAGATTGTGGATTGTGTGTCTGTCACTACTGAGTGTATCCCCAGATTGTGGATTGTGTGTCTGTCACTGCTGAGTGTATTCCCAGATTGTGGATTGTGTGTCTGTCACTGCTGAGTGTATCCCCAGATTGTGGATTGTGTGTCTGTCACTGCTGAGTGTATCCCCAGATTGTGGATTGTGTGTCTGTCACTACTGAGTGTATCCCCAGATTGTGGATTGTGTGTCTGTCACTGCTGAGTGTATTCCCAGATTGTTGATTGTGTGTCTGTCACTGCTGAGTGTATCCCCAGATTGTGGATTGTGTGTCTGTCACTGCTGAGTGTATCCCCAGATTGTGGATTGTGTGTCTGTCACTGCTGAGTGTATCCCCAGATTGTGGATTGTGTGTCTGTCACTGCTGAGTGTATTCCCCGATTGTGTTAACTATTGCAACCTGACTCAAGTGTTTCTTTGTTTCTGACCATTCTCAGTGTGTTTGCTTTACTGATTGTGGACATTATTGCACAGAGAGGAACAAAAGTCTTCTCTATTACATTATTGAAGAAGTAAAAATAATTTGAATATGATTTGTGAAGTAGATACAAGGGGGTTAACACCTTGGTGTCATATATTGTTGCCTATATACTGGTGCTCTGTGTACCCAATGTCATATACAGGTCTTCTATGTACTTATTGCCCTCATCCTCTGTATTCTGCAGGGACCAGACACATATCTCCTTCCAGCCCCAGCCTCAGATCCTACCCCAGCAGGCAGGGTACTCCCATGCCCAGCCCCCTGGTATGGGCGCTGTGTACTCCAACATGGCCCTGGGTCCTGGGTCAATATACGGAATGCCCATGTACCCTACTAACATCATGCAGATGACAGACGTAAGTTCATTCTTTTTCATTACAAAAAACATGCTATCTGAGAGGCAAGTTACGGTCTTCTAGAACTGCATATATCAGTCAGCTGTCCTGTCTAGACAACATCAGAGTCAGTCAACAAGTTAGTTGTTCATTTGAAATTTGAAATTTGTAAATGGCTATTTTTTCTTATCCTGACTCCTGATTATTGCTTATCTCCCTTCTCCTTCAACGGTCAAGTGGAAACCTTGAATCCTATTCAAATTCACTGAAGCGTCCGTACAATCACTCACCCTGAGTTACCTCCCTTGTTCCCACCAAAACTGGTCCGTCAGTGAGGGCGGTGAAGGAGAGAGTGATAAGAGCTAGTCTCGAGTCACGTTGGACCAGTTTTGGCGGGAACAAGGAAGGTAACTCAGGGTGAGTGATTGTACAGACGCTTCAGTGAATTTGAATAGGATTCAAGGTTTCCACTTGACCGTAGAAGGAGAAGGGAGATAAGCAATAATCAGGAGTCAGGATAAGTATAAAAATAATAATTTTATCATAAAAATTAAATTTTTAACTAATACCTGCACTACTTACTTCCTGCACTTATTGCTTCACGGCTCGAAAAGCGTGGCTTGCCAGACGATGTCAAAAAGACGTAGAACTGCAATCACTTCCTGGTCTCGGCTGCTTACTCGTCTGCGCATGCGTCACCGGAAGGTGGCGTCAGCCACCTCAGATTATTGCTTTTACGCGCCTCGTTAGGCGTGTTGTTTGCCAGCTCAACTTGTATCCTCACGGGTTATATTTTGTGAAGCATTAATAAAGACTGACTTTGTGTGTATTTTGTTTTGTACCTCTACGAGAAGTGTAGGTATTATCTTTCACTTTCTTTTTGTCATTCAGTAGTTCTGTGTAGTGATGTCGTTCGTTTATACGGGTCCGTCATCACACTTTCACTTCGCCATTAAAACACTTTGCATTATTTGATGCGTCGTTGTGTTTCATTTGGTTCAGGCTTATATACTATACCATATAATAGTGGTATATTTATTGTGCCTGTATTATGGTCTCTTAAACTTTCAGTTATTTTGAGACTTTTGTTCTCAACTTTGCTGTTATATTCATTACTTTGTAATGCGTTTACTGGGTTTTCTGCTTCATTGCAGATCTATGTACAGCGCCAGTTGTATACATTGTAGGGTGGGAAGTCTCGTAAAGACCCTCATCCCGATGTTTGAATGTACTACTCAATGTACCCTGGCCATAAATGTGCCAGCTGCTGTGCTATCACCCAAGAGTTTCTCCGTTTATCTACAGGTTGTTAAGAAGCGCCTGGGACAACAGAGGCGGAAGAGTATGTCTACTACTTGACACTGGTCTTGGCGACCACTCGTCTACATCAAGTGTTGCGGCGTCAACTGTGTCAGCGAGTCGCCTGTCACCAGCATTCAGATTATGTCTTAGCGCTTATGTCACGGGTGTTACAGCGTTTGGCGCCCTTTGGTAGCTTCTCCGGTGCTTGCAGCTTTGTTGGCGCTTGGATCGGCGGCCTGGCGCCGGTAGCAGGCACTCCTCTCACCTCCTCGCTGTTGCGATGTCATCTCCCACAGCGACCCGATGGGCCAGCAGTTTCGCCCGTTATCAGACACCCCAGCCAGTGTTCCGGGGCAGGCCTTATGCGTATCAACCACATACGGGGTTTCCAATGCCTCAGGCGTCTATGATGCAAGCGCCATCGGCCACCAGCAGTTTGATGTATCCACGCTCAGCACTCTCTTGACTTTACTATCAGGTCAAGCCGGTACATCAGCGCCTATGCGTTTATGCCACCAGCTACATCGGCCTCTCCCCTCTGGCCTCCAGCGCCTTTGCCACCTTGCCACCTCCGGCGATTCGGCACCTCTGCCTCCTCCAGCATCGGTGCCTATCCTGTCAACTTTGTCTGCTCCTGTGCCCTCGCCAACGCGTCTCCCGTTGCGTCCGCGTCTTCGGCGAGGCGAACATAGGTCGAGACCTGCGTAGTAAAGGCGTCTTCTGCTAAGGCGTCGTCTGCGCGTAACCGTTCCCCTTGCCGTTTAGTTCACCGTCCTCTGAGAGGGACTTTGCCCCAGACTATGAGGAAGACCGCGGGCTCTAATCACCTTGGCTTTGATCCGTGTTTGACTGGATTGCTGATCGTTTAATAGCCTCAGTCCCTTCACCAGGCCCTGATGTTGCAAAGTCACTTACTATTTGGGACTTCGCCTTCCTTAATGTTACCAGCACATGAAGGCGGTCAGAGAGATTCTCTCTACCCTTGATGAAGATTTGCGGGGATGTCTCTCAACCCAACTATTAAAGCCTAGAGTGCGTCGCGTGATGACTATCCTATTCATGGCTTGGACTTTGCCCAGACAGTGACTAAGGTGGATGAGGAAATGAAGCGTGTGACAGGTTCTTCCTCTGTGTCCTCCTATAAAGTTCAGGATACAAGGGTGTGGCTTTGGACTTAGAGCTTAAGCGTATGCTCCGCCCTATATCGGCATTGGCGTCAGCGACTGATGCCATCACTCAGGATCTTAAGGAAATAAATCCGGATCGACTGGATCATCTCACAACTATGATGCTATGGCGGGGTAAAGTGATCACTGACCTGCGTGAACACCTGGAGGTAAACTTGCCAACAGCGTGCGTAATCCGTCGGCAAGGCTTCCTCTCCTTTTCTTCATGGGATTGAATTTCAGCGGAAATTATTCCACCAACCCTGGTCATCGTCGTCACTGTTTAGCGATGCCATTCATGATGTTTATCGGCAGGTGTGTGATTTTGCCAAAGGGGAGACTGCCTTGAAAGCGTTTCAAAGGGACAACGTCCTGCCTCCACGTCATCCAACACCTACCAGCCTCGGCGACCGTCTGTTCAAGCGTGCCAGAAACTCAGCGCCGTCTCATGGCGGGGGCGTGGTGCCAAGCCTAGATCAGACAGGGGTGGATATCAGCGTCGCCCGTGCTCCGCCAGAGCGACGAGGCGTGGGGCAAGTGAAGTGAGGGACCGCATGCGACTGGACACTCCACCTCCAGTCGTCCCAGTTTATCCTACACCCGGTAGGTGGGAGAATAGGGATCTTTTGGGAAAATTGGTCCATCCTAGAGGATCCATCGTCACCCGATATATTGAGGCAGGGTTTTGGCTCCCCTCTCTCTCCGATCCACCTCTGACAATGTTCCGCTCAGGCACAATCACTCTCAGGTTCAACACAACCTTCTAGCGGAGAACATAGCGATTTTGTTGGAGAAAGAGCCATCGAACTCCTCCGTATCCCATCATAACACCAGGGTTTTATTCTCCAATATTCTTAGTGCCAAAGAAAGGGTCCGCGAAAATGAGGATGATTCACAATCTGTCCTATTTCAGCGAGACTTTCCTGGAGCGTCCTCCGCACTTCGAATGGCGTCCCTCGAATACCTCAAATCTATGGTATCGTCAGCGACTTCCTCATCAGCCTGGACCTACAGGATGCATACCTCCATGTTCCAATACGCCCCAGCGACAGGAAGTACCTGCGCTTTATTTTCAACAATCAACATTTCCAATGGGCTGTCCTCCCATTTGGAATTTCAAGCGGCCCGTGGTTGTTCACACATATCACAACTCCTATTTCCGGTATCTGCATTTGAGGGGCATCAATTTCGACCCGTACCTGGACGATTGCCTTATGCACCTGTTAGACCGTCTACTTCTTATACAACAACGGGTTTCACCCTTAAGTCTGTTGCGCCAACTAGGGTGGCTGGTCAACTTGGACAAATCGGGCTTGTCGACTCACACTCTGACGTTCATCGGGAGGCCATTTCCAGGCGGACAAGAACCTAGTTCAGATTCCCTGGACAGGTGGGACAAGATTCAGTCTCTGATTCCGCGTGCGCTCTCCCAACCTCTGTCCCTCAGAGAGTGGCAGTCACTTCTGGGATTGTTGGCGTCGGCGCAGGATCTTACCAGCAGAGGGCGTCTTCAACCGTCCTCTGCAGCGTTTTCTTCAACCATACATTAAATCGGGCAGACGTTCATCAACGGTTTTGCCTTCCACCTCAGTTACATCGCTATCTTCTTTGGTGGACTCACCCATTGAGCGTCTTAGGAGGAGTCTCTTTGACAGAGCAGCCTCCGGATTGCCAACTGTTCGTGGGCGCCCCTGCAGGGTTGGGGCACTCACTTACCGCGACCAGACAGCCTCCGGCCTGTGGTCGGGTCAACACATCAACTGGCATATAAACAGTCTGGAGTTGGAGGCCGTGATCCTGCTATTCATCATTGGGCACATCGACTACGAGGAACTTGTCTTCTAGTGGCTACAGACAACACCCGCGGTGGTATGGTACATCACGAAGGCAAGGAGTCAACACACTCACATCTTCTCCTCGATCAGACCTTTCGGCTCTTTCAACTGGTCGGCGATCTCCACATTCTGTTGAGAGTTCGGCATATTCCTGGTGCGCAATATACTAGCAGATGCTCTCTCGAGACCGACAGAGTTGCTCCCCACGAGTGGATGCTACACAAGGGAGGCCTTCACTCTCTTAAGTCCGCACTGGGTTCTCCAAACACAGATCTGTTTGCCACCAGCCAAAACCATCAACTGCCAGTGTATGTGTCCCCAATCCCAGATCCAGCGGCTTGGGCGGTGGATGCTCTCAACCTATCATGGGAGGGACTTCCGCGGCATATCGCGTTCCGCCACCAGTTCTATTACCCAAAGTTCGCCAAAAGTCAAGGAGACAACTTGCTTCGACTAATTTTGGTGTGCGCCTTGGTGGCCAGCCAGGAACTGGTTTCCGTTCTACAAAGTCTAGTGGTAGGAGATCCGTCCCTCTACCCGTGGAGGAGCGTTCGTGCACCCTCACAGCCGTCTTCCGCATCCGGCTCCAGACCCGATTCAATCTGCATGGACCATTTGCAGAAAGCACTGAGTGCTAAGAGTTTTCGGCTAGAGCAGCCAAAGCCATTCGACGGCGCACAGAACTTCTACTAGACATTTGTATGGCGACAAGTGGCAGTCGTTTGAGCGTTTTGTGTTACCAAGAAGCAGGATCCGCTGACTGTGTCTCCTCAGTTCATAGCAGATTTCTTACTTTATCTCCGAGCGTCCAGGCGTCTGAAGGGAGGCACCATTGCCGCGTGTTTGCGGCAATTAGCTCTGTTTTAGCGATTCCCACTGACAGAAGGATTTCCAAAATCCCAGAATTACAGGCCATGCTTCGCTCATTCCGACTTGAAGACCAGAAGTTGAAGTCCGCCGGCATGGAATCTCAACACTGTTTTAGACCATCTCCGTGGTGCACCTTATGAACCTCTTGATAACGCTTCCCTCGCTGATTTATCCAGGAAGACGGCATTTCTGTTGTCATTAGCAACTGCGGCTAGAGTGAGTGAGGTTCACGCCCTTGACGTGACTAGGATCAAGTTTGAACGTCATCGTCATGGTTCTGTGCACTTAGGTCTGTGTTGGGATTTCATCGCTAAAAACCAACTACCAGGTCAACCTGATCTCCAGTTTTCCATCCGCCATTATCATCTATTGTTGGCTCTGAAGGCGATCGCGGAATTACTGTTATGTCGATTCGATGCGCTCAAAACTTACATTGATCGCACCAAAGGCGTTCGTGGTACAAGGAAACGGTTATTTCTTCCACTGTCCCGGGCGTCGCAGTCAGATGTCAGCAAAACACTATTGCCTTATGGTTAAGAACAACCATTCTTCAGGCGTATAAAGCGGCTGGGCTGGACCCTCCCACGTCCTCTCATCCCCACGAGATTCGAGCACTTGCTTCGACTATGGCACTTCACAGTAATTGCTCTGTGTCATCCATTATGCAAGGTTGTTTTGGCGGTCGGACACAGTGTTTGCCAGTCATTACTTGCGTGACATGGCTGTCAAGGGCGTTAATGATGTCCACAGCTTCGGACCATTGGTGGCTGCTCAGCAACTTCGCCATTCCCGAAGAAAGTGACCCTCCTGCCTTGTGTTTCCTTCCACGGACCACCATGTGGGGAATGAGTTGTTTTCTTCACAAAACAACTAGGTATGTCAGTTAAGGAGTTATCCTTGTTTTTCAAGTCCATGCTTTTGCTGCATTCCTTAAGCCGCCAGCTTTAAAATTAGTGGGTTCTTTTCATTTAAGATGCAGTCTTATTTGCGAATTACCGCTACCTGATCGTCACTTTCGCTAATTAAGCTCTCTGTTATGAAGCGTTATCAACGCTTTCGAAACGGGATTAGGGATTGAGCTGGCTGCTATTACGTAAGCAAAGGCGATCCCTCAGATGACACGCCCACCTTCCAGCCTGTCGGATAAAGTGCAGGAAGTAAGTAGTGCAGGATTAGTAAAAAATTTAGTAAAATCTAAATATTTTTATATTTGTATACTTATCCTGCACTACTTATGATAAGGGCCCACCCTGTGCTATCAGCTACCTCCCCGCTTAGTTTTGCTATCTGTGGGATTTCTAAGCAATAATCTGAGGTGGCTGACGTCACCTTCCGGTGACGCATGCGCAGACGAGTAAGCAGCCGAGACCAGGAAGTGATTGCAGTTCTACGTCTTTTTGACATCGTCTGGCAAGCCACGCTTTTCGAGCCGTAAGCAATAAGTGCAGGAAGTAAGTAGTGCAGGATAAGTATACAAATATAAAAAATATTTAGATTTTACTAATTCTCCAGGATGACTGTTGTGTGTACATGTTGTCTGATACCTTTTTCAGCCTGGCTCCGTACGCTTCACTGCACCTGACCTCCACGAGCTACCATTCACCCCAGTTCACGCTCCAGTCATGGCCCAGGGACCCCAGCCTAGAGGGTTAGTAGACATATGCCCGAGCCTCAAGTTTGTTAGACATGCCCAAATATTGGTGTGGGTAAACAGGTGCCCAAGCCATTAGTGTAAGTAATCAAGTGCCTTAGTCGAGATGTTAGGTAAGTAGTCAAGTGCCCCAGTCTAGATGTTAGGTAAGTAGTCAAGTGCCCCAGTCTAGATGTTAGGTAAGTAAACAAGTACCCCAGTCTAGATGTTAGGTAAGTAGTCAAGTGCCCCAGTCTAGATGTTAGGTAAGTAGTCAAGTACCCTAGTCTAGATGTTAGGTAAGTAGTCAAGTGCCCCAGTCTTGATGTTAGGTAAGTAGTCAAGTGCCCCAGTTGAGATGTTAGGTAAGTAGTCAAGTGCCCTAGTCTAGATAGTTGGATGTTAAGTAGTAAGTACCCTAGTCTAGATGTTGGGTAAGTAGTCAAGTGCCCCAGTCTTGATGTTAGGTAAGTAGTCAAGTGCCCCAGTCTAGATGTTAGGTGAAGTAGTCAAAAGTACCCTAGTCTAGATGTTAGGGTAAAGTAGTCAAGTGCCCCAGTCTTGATGTTAGGTAAGTAGTCAAGTGCCTCAGTCTAGATGTTAGGGTAAGTAGTCAAGTGCCCCAGTCTAGATGTTAGGTAAGTAGTCAAGTACCCTAGTCTAGATGTTAGGTAAGTAGTCAAGTGCCCCAGTCTTGATGTTAGGTAAGTAGTCAAGTGCCCCAGTCTAGATGTTAGGTAAGTAGTCAAGTGCCCTAGTCTAGATGTTAGGTAAGTAGTCAAGTGCCCCACTTGATGTTAGGTAAGTAGTCAAGTGCCCCAGTCTAGATGTTAGGTAAGTAGTCAAGTGCCCCAGTCTAGATGTTAGGTAAGTAAACAAGTACCCTAGTCAAGATGTTAGGTAAGTAATCAAGTGTCCCAGTCTAGATGTTAGGTAAGTATTCAGGTGTCCTAGTCTAGATGTTAAGTAAGGAGTCAAGTGCCCCAGTCTAGATGTTAGGTAAGTAGTCAAGTGCCCTAGTCTAGATGTTAGGTAACTAATCAAGTGTCCCAGTCTAGATGTTAGGTAAGTAGTCAAGTGTCCCAGTCTAGATGTTAGGTAAGTAATCAAGTGCCCCAGTCTAGATGTTAGGTAAGTAGTCAAGTGCCCCAGTCTAGATGTTAAGTAAGTAGTCAAGTGCCCCAGTCTAGATGTTAGGTAAGTAAGTAGTCAAGTGCCCCAGTCTAGATGTTAGGTAAGTAATCAAGTGCCCCAGTCTAGATGTTAAGTAAAGCAAACAAGTACCCAAGTCTAGATGTTAAGTAAGTAATCAAGTGCCCCAGTCTAGATGTTAGGTAAGTAGTCAAGTGCCCCAGTCTAGATGTTAGGTAAGTAATCAAGTGCCCCAGTCTAGATGTTAGGTAAGTAAACAAGTACCCCAGTCTAGATGTTAGGTAAGTATCATGCCCCAGTCTAGATGTTAGGCAAGTAAACAAGTACCCAGTCTAGATGTTAGGTAAGTAGTCAAGTACCCCCAGTCTAGATGTTAAGTAAGTAGTCAAGTGCCCCAGTCTAGATGTTAGGTAAGTAGTCAAGTGCCCTAGTCTAGGTAAGTGTTACCCCAGTCTAGATGTAGTCAAGTAATCAAGTGCCCCAGTCTAGATGTTAGGTAAGTAAACAAGTACCCCAGTCTAGATGTTAGGTAAGTCAAGGCGCCCTAGTCTAGATGTTAGGTAAGTAGTCAAGTACCCAGTCTAGATGTTAGGTAAGGTGCCCTAGTCTAGATGTTAGGTAAGTAATCAAGTGCCCCAGTCTTGATGTTAGGTAAGTAATCAAGTGCCCCAGTCTAGATGTTAGGTAAGTAAACAAGTACCCCAGTCTAGATGTTAGGTAAGTAGTCAAGTGCCCCAGTCTTGATGTTAGGTAAGTAGTCAAGTGCCCTAGTCTAGATGTTAGGTAAGTAGTCAAGTGTCCCAGTCTAGATGTTAGGTAAGTAGTCAAGTGCCCCAGTCTAGATGTTAGGTAAGTAATCAAGTGCCCCAGTCTAGATGTTAGGTAAGTAAACAAGTACCCCAGTCTAGATGTTAGGTAAGTAGTCAAGTGCCCTAGTCTAGATGTTAAGTAAGGAGTCAAGTGCCCCAGTCTAGATGTTAGGTAAGTAGTCAAGTGCCCTAGTCTAGATGTTAAGTAAGTAATCAAGTGTCCCAGTCTAGATGTTAAGTAAGGAGTCAAGTGCCCCAGTCTAGATGTTAGGTAAGTAATCAAGTGCCCCAGTCTAGATGTTAGGTAAGGAGTCAAGTGCCCTAGTCTAGATGTTAAGTAAGTAAACAAGTGCCCCAGTCTAGATGTTAGGTAAGTAATCAAGTGCCCCAGTCTAGATGTTAGGTAAGTAATCAAGTGTCCCAGTCTAGATGTTAAGTAAGGAGTCAAGTACCCCAGTCTAGATGTTAGGTAAGTAGTCAAGTGCCCTAGTCTAGATGTTAAGTAAGGAGTCAAGTGCCCCAGTCTAGATGTAGGTAAGTAGTCAAGTGCCCCAGTCTAGATGTTAGGTAAGTAAACAAGTACCCCAGTCTAGATGTTAGGTAAGTAAACAAGTACCCCAGTCTAGATGTTAGGTAAGTAGTCAAGTGCCCCAGTCTAGATGTTAGGTAAGTAAACAAGTACTACAGTCTAGATGTTAGGAAAGTAATCAAGTGTCCCAGTCTAGATGTTAGGGAAGTATTCAAGTGTCCTAGTCTAGATGTTAGGTAAGTAAACAAGTACCCCAGTCTAGATGTTAGGTAAGTAGTCAAGTGCCCCAGTCTAGATGTTAGGTAAGTAGTCAAGTGCCCCAGTCTAGATGTTAGGTAAGTAAACAATGTACCCCAGTCTAGATGTTAGTGTAAGTAGTCAAGGTGTAGATGTTAGGTAAGTAAGTAAACAAGTACCCCAGTCTAGATGTTAGGTAAGTAAAGCAATCAAGTGCCCCAGTCTAGATGTTAGGTAAGTAAACAAGTACTCCCAGTCTAGATGTTAGGTAAGTAATCAAGTGTCCCAGTCTAGATGTTAGGGTAAGTAGTCAAGTGCCCCAGTCTAGATGTTAGGTAAGTAGTCAAGTGCCCCATAGTCTAGATGTTAGGTAGATGTTAGGTAAAGTAGTCAAGTGCCCCAGTCTAGATGTTAGGTAAGTAGTCAAGTGCCCCAGTCTAGATGTTAGGTAAGTAGTCAAGTGCCCCAGTCTAGATGTTAGGTAAGTAGTCAAGTGCCCCAGTCTAGATGTTAGGTAAGTAGTAGTCAAGTGCCCCAGTCTAGATGTTAGGTAAGTAGTCAAGTGCCCCAGTCTAGATGTTAGGTAAGTAAACAAGCAATTCCCAGTCTAGATGTTAGGTAAGTAGTCGTCCCCAGTCTAGATGTTAGGTAAGTAAACAAGTACCCCAGTCTAGATGTTAGGTAAGTAGTCAAGTGCCCCAGTCTAGATGCGCCCCAGTCTAGATAGGTAAGTAGTCAAGTGCCCCAGTCTAGATGTTAGGTAAGTAGTCAAGTGCCCCAGTCTAGATGTTAGGTAAGTAATCAAGTACCCCAGTCTAGATGTTAGGTAAGTAATCAAGTGCCCCAGTCTAGATGTTAGGTAAGTAAACAAGTACCCCAGTCTAGATGTTAGGTAAGTAATCAAGTGCCCCAGTCTAGATGTTAGGTAAGTAATCAAGTGCCCCAGTCTAGATGTTAGGTGTAGTAGTCAAGTTAGCCCCAGTCAAGTGCCCTAATCAAGGTGCCCCAGTCTAGATGTTAGGTAAGTAAACAAGTGCCCCAGTCTAGATGTTAGGTAAGTAGTCAAGTGCCCCAGTCTAGATGTTAGGTAAGTAAACAAGTACCCCAGTCTAGATGTTAGGTAAGTAGTCAAGTGCCCCAGTCTAGATGTTAGGTAAGTAGTCAAGTGCACCCTAGTCTAGATGTTAGGTAAGTAGTCAAGTGCCCCAGTCTAGATGTTAGGTAAGTAGTCAAGTGCCCTAGTCTAGATGTTAGGTAAGTAGTCAAGTGCCCCAGTCTAGATGTTAGGTAAGTAGTCAAGTGCCCCAGTCTAGATGTTAGGTAAGTAGTCAAGTGCCCTAGTCTAGATGTTAGGTAAGTAGTCAGTGAGTGCCCCAGTCTAGATGTTAGGTAAGTAGTCAAGTGCCCTAGTCTAGATGTTAGGTAAGTAATCAAGTGCCCCAGTCTAGATGTTAGGTAAGTAGTCAAGTGCCCTAGTCTAGATGTTAGGTAAGTAGTCAAGTGCCCTAGTCTAGATGTTAGGTAAGTAGTCAAGTGCCCCTTGTATCATTGTATCAATAGCTGAAATGTCAACACCCTGATTTCCTCTTGTCATTTGTATATTTCCCTTACATCAACAGGGCAGTTGCTGTTATGTTCATGTAACTCCATGAGTGTGATAATAGTGTACCTGACATGTCATGGAGACAAAGGAGCACCAGCACAGTTTGTTGTACCTTTTGTGAAGTTGACCTCCAATCAACAGAGAACAACACCATCTTCTGTCTTCAGGGAACCAGATGGACCCTTCTGTTTGTCATCTTGAACATTGAAGGATGTTCGTATATGACTGTACACATTCTTCTTCAGGGGAGTTGGTTTGTCCAGATCAGCCTATGCTCGACTCTACTCTGCTGGCTTTCCACCTGTCGTGGACCGTAATGGCGATCCCCCAGATGTTATTGACCCTGGCTCGACAGTCACAGTCAATGTGGCGAAGGAGCTGGCAGATCCTTTGCAATGTAACGAGATTGTCTTCCAGTTCTTAGCTTTTGCCAAGTAAGTCACAAAACATTTTACTCATTCTGCAAAAATAAATCATGTACAGGCATTTCATATTGTGGTGTTGTTCAACAAAGTGTCCTCTATGTTTACATGAGAGATATCTAGCCAGTACAGGCATTTCATATTGTGGTGGTGTTCAACAAAGTGTCCTCTATGTTTACATGAGAGATATCTAGCCAGTTTTCAGGCATCTACATTGGTGTTCAAGCAGTGATCACTCTATAGGTGGTAGGCAATCTAGCCAGTACAGGCATTTATATTCACAGGAGTAAATCTAGCCAGTTTAGATCACTCTATATTCACATGGGAGGCAATCTAGCCAGTTTAGATCACTCTTCACATGGAGGTGTTCAACAAGTTTAGATCACTCTACATTTACATAGAGCAATCTAGCCAGTTTAGATCACTCTACATTCACATAGGAGGTAATCTAGCCAGTTTAGATCACTCTATATTCACATAGGAGGTAATCTAGCCAGTTTAGATCACTCTACATTCACATAGGAGGTAATCTAGCCAGTTTAGATCACTCTACATTCACATAGGAGGTAATCTAGCCAGTTTAGATCACTCTACATTCACATAGGAGGTAATCTAGCCAGTTTAGATCACTCTACATTCACATAGGAGGTAAATCTAGGCAGCTCTAAACTCAGTTCTGAGTTCAGAATGATCTTGTCCATAAGAAGTCATTACCTAATTCTTAGCTAATTCTTGACACTATTTCATAATATAATATGATAATAGTGAAAGGAACACTGTGAAGAAGAGGTGCTTATTTCTTTGTTTCCCTAAGTGTATGTGGTGATGTGTGGTCCTGTGATAGAGTCACAAGTCAGTTAAGTTAAGCAATGTTGGGCGTGGACAGTCCTTGGATGGGGGACTGTGTTTGGCAGCTTGAACCCTGAGAGTTTCCAGGACTTCTGTCCTGCCCCACAAGGAAGCATATGTGACACATGTGGTCCTAAGGCACCTTAGGCAAAGGAGTTTGTTCATGAATTCACCCAGCAGTAAATGGGTACCCAGTGGGATAAGTCATATGACTGTTAACCTTCTATAAATGGCCATATTTATTCCCAGATTTTCACCCACGATGCAATACAATCCTTGTGAAGAAGCACATACGTTTATGAGTTACCATATTTGATTTCCTGTTTTTAAAGTATTGTTGTGTTCATGAATTTTTTTTCTCATGCAGGTTTTCCAATCAGCCCAATGGTTCCTCAAAATCTGCTGGCTCTGTGTTTTTCACATTCCAGTTCTACAGGTTCCCACAGATCACTTCAGAGAGGTAGGTAGTGTCAGAGGTCACATGAGATAGGTAGGTAGTGTAAGATCAGAGAGGTAGGTAGTGTCAGATCAGAGAGCTAGGTAGTGTCAGAGGTCACATGAGATAGGTAGGTAGTGTCAGATCAGAGAGGTAGGTAGTGTCAACAAGAGTTAACAAGATGTTATTGCAGGTTACAATGAATCCTGTGTGTAACAGAGGTATCCGTAAATGGTAGCTCAATGAAGACGAATACTTGTGTCGGTTTTCAGGGATTTATTCCGGAACTGGTAGTGTGGGATATGGAGATCCCCAGTTGGCTGAACTAAAACAAAACGCCCTGAATGATAAAATATACATCAATTAATACATGTCTCTGATATATGCAATACATATATACATTCAGTATGGCTACCACAGTACTAATCTAATAACTGCCAATCATCCAGCTTTAAGCAAAGACATGTACTCTGATTCTCACTCACATATATGACAACTATAATTACTAATATTTTGAAACATCACATTCTAACAACAATACCTCAGAATAAGCCAACAACTAGTGTAAACATGATTCTCAGTGAACCTAAATAAACAAAACATTGCCTAAGTATACTGCTAGTATATGCAGATATATATCATAAACAGCATTAGGGTATACATTAATTAGTAATCTTATTGACCCTAATATACACATAAATATGCATATAGAAACTAAACTGTATAATAAACCGCATAATGCACAATACTGTATCACACCAATCATAAAATAGCTAACACATATACATGATACATGCTAATATACATGATACAAGTTACAGCATCATAAAATAGCTAACACATATACATGATACATGCTAATATACATGATACAAATTACAGCATCATAAAATAGTGGGGCGGTGGGGTAGCCTAGTGGTTAAAGCGTTGGCTCGTCACGCCGAAGACCCGGGTTCGATTCCCCACATGGGCACAATGTGTTAAGCCCATTTCTGGTGTCCCCAGCCGTGATATTGCTGGAATATTGCTAAAAGCGGCGTAAAACCAAACTCAGTCAGTCAGTCATAAAATAGCTAACACATATACATGATACATGCTAATATACATGATACAAATTACAGCATCATAAAATAGCTAACACATATACATGATACATGCTAATATACATGATACAAATTACAGCATCATAAAATAGCTAATACATATACATGATACATGCTAATATACATGATACAAATTACAGCATCATAAAATAGCTAACACATATACATGATACATGCTAATATACATGATACAAATTACAGCATCATAAAATAGCTACCACATATACATGATACATGCTAATATACATGATACAAATTACAGCATCATAAAATAGCTAACACATATACATGATACATGCTAATATACATGATACAAATTGCAGCATCATAAAATAGCTAACACATATACATGATACATGCTAATATACATGATACAAATTACAGCATCATAAAATAGCTAACACATATACATGATACATGCTAATATACATGATACTAATTACAGCATCATAAAATAGCTAATATATATACATGATACATGCTAATATACATGATACAAATTACAGCATCATAAAATAGCTAATATATATACATGATACATGCTAATATACATGATACAAATTACAGCATCATAAAATAGCTACTACATATACATGATACATGCTAATATACATGATACAAATTACAGCATCATAAAATAGCTACCACATATACATGATACATGCTAATATACATGATACAAATTACAGCATCATAAAATAGCTAACACATATACATGATACATGCTAATATACATGATACAAATTACAGCATCATAAAATAGCTAATATATATACATGATACATGCTAATATACATGATACAAATTACAGCATCATAAAATAGCTAACACATATACATGATACATGCTATATACATGATGCTAGCATCATAAAATAGCTAACACATATACATGATACATGCTAATATACATGATACAAATTACAGCATCATAAAATAGCTAACACATATACATGATACATGCTAATATACATGATACAAATTACAGCATCATAAAATGGCTAACACATATACATGATACATGCTAATATACATGATACAAATTGCAGTATCATGGTGGTATAACTCTACATATAAACTCGTACCAGTATACTAATGTACTTGTACACAATACATCATACATATGTCTAAAATACTAGGTATGCATATGTTTGTAGACAAATACCTAACATACACTAAATGTAATAAAACACTAGTCCTTAAAACATGTAATCTAACACACTAAATCCTAATAGCCCTACTATACATATAATGCTAAAAGATCTAACTGAACTTACCCCATATAATGTGCTGGTGTTGTGCTGTGATAGTGCTCAAGGAGAAAGGTGTATACTGCCACAGGTGAAAGGCAGTGGAAAGCTTTAAATATGACAAGAAGCTATGAAACAATGCAAACAAACCTTGACAACAGACCAATGTAGAACTTGAACCTGACACAGATCACTTAACCTTAACAATAGACCCCAAACTAGCTGACCCGTGAATTAGTTAAACAGTGTTAGTGTTAACTCAGGCCAGATTGATAATGATAAAGTTTTATACCTAATTTTATAATAATGAAGTTTAACACATTAAAATGACACGTTTATTTACACACTGTTATTTTCTCCTCTCCCAACGAAAATATTGTCTCAATATTTACAGTCAGTCCATAGAGCCAGTCACAAGATCTAGCATGGCTCTGTAGGCATCTTTCGGCAGGTTTTGTAGGAGTCCATCTTCTGCCAAGTTCTTAAAAATATCTGGCTGTTGCCAGTCATCTCCTACTGATGTTGTTGGAACTTGGCTCATACAATACTCTCCGCTGGTCTGCCAAGATGGAGGCTGATGCCGTCTTCCTGAACATCTAGGCGGTGGAGTAGGTAGAACTCTCCCGGGACGTCGACGTGGGCGATGTTCTGTTCCTCATGTTCTTCATGTTCCTCAATCGCTGGTTGGGAACTTTCATCAGCTGTGGGCTCACCTCCTGTTCCCCCCTCCTGAACCATGGTATCAGTGGAATCTTCTCATTCTTCTGGTCCATTGGGAACTTCATCTTCAGGCGGTGGATCAGCATCTGTTAGAACACTGGTCACTGAAGATTCTGTGGTGAGTTCAACAGGCTGCATCTTGACCTCAATAGAATAGATCTCGGGCTCGCTGTCAGGCTCAGATAAGGTTGACTCATCAGGTTGCTCAGCGATCCAATCTTCCTTCTGTTTCTTTCCTGGTAGTGGAACAGGTGGAACATCATTTAGCTTCTCTGGTGTCTATTACATGTGCATTCTCAGAAGGCATGGGTCGGGTATGACTGGATGGCTTATTTAGCCAACTGTATGATAAGGGAATAACGGGGTCAACTAAGGAGAATAGTACAACTCTCCAATACCTCCATGAAATCATCTGTATGGTCTGAAGGATTAAGGTCTGATGTATTCTCCATAAGTCAAGAAGTGGGTCAAGGAAGGGTAATGCATGCCTGGCTTTTCATATTGTATATCAACAACCTTCTATATGAATTTGGGAACTAAGATTCTGGTTTAACCCAGGGTTCTTCTTGCCACTACTTGATGAGAGCAAGAGTGCAATGTCTAAACTTTTCACTGTGTACTCATCAACACTAATTATAACAGTGGATTGTGCTTTGGTGGTCTTATCCCCATACCTGGGAGTGGGGTGTCAGTGTCACGGGTTGGCTACCTGTGTCTTATCCCCATACCTGGGAGTGGGGTGTCAGTGTCACGGGTTGGCTACCTGTGTTTATCCCCATACCTGGGAGTGGGGTGTCAGTGTCACGGGTTGGCTACCTGTGTCTTATCCCCATACCTGGGAGTGGGGTGTCAGTGTCACGGGTTGGCTACCTGTTTAACCTAGGTCTTATCCCCATACCTGGGATTGGGGTGTCAGTGTCACGGGTTGGCTACCTGTTTAACCTAGGTCTTATCCCCATACCTGGGAGTGGGATGTCAGTGTCACGGGTTGGCTACCTGTTTAACCTAGGTCTTATCCCCATACCTGGGAGTGGGGTGTCAGTGTCACAGGTTGGCTACCTGTTTAACCTAGGGTAGCTACACAGGTGCACTCTGCCTTCTAGGAAAGCTGTGTAAGGACAAGAATATTGCTGTGTTTATTCAAGACTTAGTTTGTCAGGATACAGCAGTATAAGATCAAGGAACGAATACTGTTGTAACTAGCTGTGAAGAAGTATGACCAGTTACCCTCCACTTCCGGTCTTGTTGAAGTGTGTTTAACACTGTATGTAATGTGCTGTGGGATTTCCTGTCCATGTGAGCAGTATTTTTCCTACATAAAGGAAGCACAGTGTATGGGTGTTTGCATACCAGGAGATCTGGAGATACTGGTACAAATTACAGACTAAAGTTAAAAGGATAACAAAACACAAACCTCACATATCTTTAATTAAACAGTTTACTCGATGTTTACATCGTAGTTTCAACTGAATTACCGTTCAGGTACAGGTACCGAATTACCTGAAATACTTTTGGCTAGTATTTATATCTTTAATAATCACATGAGTAAGCCCCACTAGCCATATAATTTCTATAAACCTGTTTGGCCTACGAATCTTCAATCCTTTGTTTAACTTGTATTTTAGATGAATTGTAGTGTTCCTTGTCATCTGATTCAAAATCAAGTCAATCAGATTTAATGTGCTTAGTTAGGGCCCTTCAAAGCATTTGTTGGGCCCCTTCATGTGGACTTCATACTTTCAAGAAATTGAAAGGAGTTGAAATTACTCTGAGACAACTCCCATCTCCTCTATTCCTGAGTTAATGGCCGAAGCCTGAACTTGGTTTTGGTTTGTTCCAGATTACTTCTGTCAAAGTCCCAGAATGATTTGACCTCAGATCCACAGTCCATGCCCATTCATCCTTCACAAAATGGAAAAGGATGGGTCAGTTCAAGAGGGACAGCCACCAGGGTTTGAGGTAAAGGCTGGGGAGGGATTGAAGGATGGGTCAGTTCAAGAGGGACAGCTACCAGGGTTTGAGGTGAGGGCTGAGGAGGGATTGATGGATGGGTCAGTTCAAGAGGGACAGCTACCAGGGTTTGTGGTGAGGGCTGGGGAGGGATTGAAGGATGGGTCAGTTCAAGAGGGACAGCTACCAGGGTTTGAGGTGAGGGCTGGGGAGGGATTGAAGGATGGGTCAGTTCAAGAGGGACAGCTACCAGGGTTTGAGGTGAGGGTCTGGGGAGGGATTGAAGGATGGGTCAGTTCAAGAGGGACAGCCACCAGGGTTTGAGGTGAGGGCTGGGGAGGGATTGAAGGATGGGTCAGTTCAAGAGGGACAGCTACCAGGGTTTGAGGTGAGGGCTAGGGAGGGATTGAAGGATGGGTCAGTTCAAGAGGGACAGCCACCAGGGTTTGAGGTGAGGAGGGCTAGGGAGGGATTCAAGGATGGGTCAGTTCAAGAGGGACAGCTACCAGGGTTTGAGGTGAGGGCTGGGAGGGATTGAAGGATGGGTCAGTTCAAGAGGGACAGCCACCAGGGTTTGAGGTGAGGGCTGCTGGGAGGGATTGAAGGATGGGTCAGTTCAAGAGGGACAGCCACCAGGGTTTGAGGTGAGGGCTGGGAGGGATTGAAGGATGGGTCAGTTCAAGAGGGACAGCCACCAGGGTTTGAGGTGAGGGCTGGGAGGGATTGAAGGATGGGTCAGTTCAAGAGGGACAGCCACCAGGGTTTGAGGTGAGGGCTGGGAGGGATTGAAGGATGGGTCAGTTCAAGAGGGACAGCCACCAGGGTTTGAGGTGAGGGCTGGGAGGGATTGAAGGATGGGTCAGTTCAAGAGGGACAGCCACCAGGGTTTGAGGTGAGGGCTGGGAGGGATTGAAGGATGGGTCAGTTCAAGAGGGACAGCCACCAGGGTTTGAGGTGAGGGCTGGGAGGGATTGAAGGATGGGTCAGTTCAAGAGGGACAGCCACCAGGGTTTGAGGTGAGGGCTGGCTGAGGGAGGGATTGGATGGGTCAGTTCAAGAGGGACAGCCACCAGGGTTTGAGGTGAGGGCTGAGGAGGGATTGATGGATGGGTCAGTTCAAGAGGGACAGCTACCAGGGTTTGTGGTGAGGGCTGGGGAGGGATTGAAGGATGGGTCAGTTCAAGAGGGACAGCCACCAGGGTTTGAGGTGAGGGGCTGGGAGGGATTGAAGGATGGGTCAGTTCAAGAGGGACAGCCACCAGGGTTTGAGGTGAGGGCTGGGGAGGGATTGAAGGATGGGTCAGTTCAAGAGGGACAGCCACCAGGGTTTGAGGTGAGGGGGCTGGGGAGGGATTGAAGGATGGGTCAGTTCAAGAGGGACAGCTACCAGGGTTTGAGGTGAGGGCTAGGGAGGGATTGAAGGATGGGTCAGTTCAAGAGGGACAGCCACCAGGGTTTGAGGTGAGGGCTAGGGAGGGATTGAAGGATGGGTCAGTTCAAGAGGGACAGCTACCAGGGTTTGAGGTGAGGGCTGGGGAGGGATTGAAGGATGGGTCAGTTCAAGAGGGACAGCCACCAGGGTTTGAGGTGAGGGCTGGGAGGGATTGAAGGATGGGTCAGTTCAAGAGGGACAGCCACCAGGGTTTGAGGTGAGGGCTGGGAGGGATTGAAGGATGGGTCAGTTCAAGAGGGACAGCCACCAGGGTTTGAGGTGAGGGCTGGGAGGGATTGAAGGATGGGTCAGTTCAAGAGGGACAGCCACCAGGGTTTGAGGTGAGGGCTGGGGAGGGATTGATGGATGGGTCAGTTCAAGAGGGACAGCCACCAGGGTTTGAGGTGAGGGCTGGGAGGGATTGAAGGATGGGTCAGTTCAAGAGGGACAGCCACCAGGGTTTGAGGTGAGGGCTGGGAGGGATTGAAGGATGGGTCAGTTCAAGAGGGACAGCCACCAGGGTTTGAGGTGAGGGCTGGGGAGGGATTGAAGGATGGGTCAGTTCAAGAGGGACAGCCACCAGGGTTTGAGGTGAGGGTTGGGGAGGGATTGATGGATGGGTCAGTTCAAGAGGGACAGCCACCAGGGTTTGAGGTGAGGGCTAGGGAGGGATTGAAGGATAGGTTAGTTCAAGAGGGACAGCCACCAGGGTTTGAGGTGAGGGCTAGGGAGGGATTGAAGGATGGGTCAGTTCAAGAGGGACAGCCACCAGGGTTTGAGGTGAGGGCTGGGAGGGATTGAAGGATGGGTCAGTTCAAGAGCGACAGCCACCAGGGTTTGAGGTGAGGGCTGGGGAGGGATTGATGGATGGGACACACCGAAGACAGACACAAGGGTTACTTGCGTCACATGTGTACTTGCTCAAACCAATATAACTTCTTTTGAAGTTACCAAACAACTACAGCTATGCACATAAGTACCTTGATTTAAATCCAAAGCCAAAAATGTTTATGAAAAACTGGTTATCATAGCAATTGTGATAGTGTGTGGAATTGTCTTGTGTCTCTTTCTATGACGCCTGCTACACCTGACAGTTGTTACACGTGACACTTGTTACACATGATGACACTTGCTACACATGTCACTTGCTACACATGACAATTTTTACATGTGACACTTTTTACATGTGACACTTGCTACACGTGACGCTTGCTCCACGAGACACTTGCTACGCATGACACTTGCTACACATGACATTTGCTACACGTGACACTTGCTACACATGACATTTGCTACACATGACACTCGTTACACATGACACTTGTTACACGTGACACTTGTTACACGTGACACATGCTACACATGATGACACTTGCTACACATGTCACTTGCTACACATGACACTTGCTACACATGACACTTTTTACATGTGACACTTGCTACACGTGACACTTGCTACACATGATACTTGCTACACGTGACACTTGCTACACATGACACTTGTTACATGTTACACATGCTACACATGACACTATACATGATACTTGTTACACATGACACTTGCTACACGTGACACTATACATGACATTAGCTATATATGACACTTGCTGCTCATGACACTTACTATACATGACATTAGCTACACATGACACTTGCTACACATGACACTTGCTACACGTGACACTCGCAAACTACTTATGCCATTCACGTGAATTGAGTTTTTTCTGGCACACTGTGACATGCTGTTGTTACACATGACACTTGCTATGTATGACATTAGCTTCACATGACACTTGCTACACATGACACTTACTATACATGACATTAGCTACACATGACACTTGCTACACGTGACACTCGCAAACTACTTATGCCATTCACGTGAATTGAGTTTTTTCTGGCACACTGTGACATGCTGTTGTTACACATGACACTTGCTACACGTGACACTCGCAAACTACTTATGCCATTCACGTGAATTGAGGTTTTTCTGGCACACTGTGACATGCTGTTTCAAATGATGTTAACTATAATTACTTATTTTTGCTGCAGGTAAAATACTTCTTGGACCCAACATTCCTGAAGCCAGGAGAAAGCAGTCTGTTTTACCAGCATCTCTCTCGTCAGTCCCTCCACATTGATGTCTGGGATGGAGACTCCCTCCTCCTCATTGGATCGTCGGCTCTTGACCTCAAGGTAAGTTACAGATTAACTCTTATGTCAAGGTACCCAATAGACTAAGGCTTAGTCTCTGAATATATATAATTTTGATAGTAACAAACAAGCCCATTTATATTGAAAAGGAGCCCTAAGGAGACCAGAGATTCAGAGACCAAGAACATCTGCTTTGGGGCTACACATGCTGGGGTCATTACCAATTAGAAGTCACATCATACAACCATCAGATAACGCTATAAGTGAAAGGCATATTTATTGGCCCTCCTGTTAAGCCCTGTCCTATCTCCATGCTGTCATCACCTCATGTGGGCCGGGTCAAGTGCCCCTACTGCCTAACATTTTACTGTTGGGAAACTTGCAGCCCACAATGTCACTTGGACACTAGATGACCAAGGTGCAAGATCTGTGATTCAGGAGGAACCTTTTCCCAAGATTTTGCTTGATTTGTCTCTTCAAGATCAGAAATTGTACACAAGGCCTCCACTATAGCTTCATGTAACCCAGTGTGCTTGTTAATTAAGAGTTGACAGATGAAAATGTGAGGCAAGATTTCAGACCACTGGTGAGGATGTTGGTCCGGCCAGCCATGGTAGTTAGATATGTTTACTTTGTAACCCGACCCCCAAAGTGAGTTAGTTTGCTTGCAGATGTTAACATACCCTGAACCTGAGGAAATCTAGACTTGCTATATTTAGGGCTTTAGCATTGCAGAGAGGGCTTGGCAGTAGGGGAAATAATGTGGTTCAGGGACTGTGAGACAGACTAGGTGCCCAACTATGGCTAGGCAAAAATTAAGGTGACACCACTCACATGTTGCTGGCTTTGAGTTAGATAACCATCTGACCTGGGTATAGACCTTGACAACCACCTGTCTCTGACCTGGGTATAGACCATGGCAAACATCTGTCTCTGACCTGGGTATAGACCTTGACAACCACCTGTCTCTGACCTGGGTATAGACCATGACAAACATCTGTCTCTGACCTGGGTATAGACCTTGACAACCACCTGTCTCTGACCTGGGTATTGACCTTGACAGATATCTGTCTCTGACCTGGGTATAGACCATGACAAACATCTGTCTCTGACCTGGGTATAGACCTTGACAACCACCTGTCTCTGACCTGGGTATTGACCTTGACAGATATCTGTCTCTGACCTGGGTATAGACCATGACAAACATCTGTCTCTGACCTGGGTATAGACCTTGACAAACATCACTCTCTGACCTACAAATAGACCATGACAAACATCTGTCTCTGACCTGGGTATAGACCTTGACAAACATCACTCTCTGACCTACAAATAGACCATGACAAACATCTGTCTCTGACCTGGGTATAGACCTTGACAAACATCAGTCTCTGACCTGGGTATTGACCTTGACAGATATCTGTCTCTGACCTGGGTATAGACCATGACAAACATCTGTCTCTGACCTGGGTATAGACCTTAACAAACATCTGTCTCTGACCTGGGTATAGACCATGACAAACATCTGTCTCTGACCTGGGTATAGACCATGACAAACATCTGTCTCTGACCTGGGTATAGACCATGACAAACATCTGTCTCTGACCTGGGTATAGACCTTGACAAACATCAGTCTCTGACCTGGGTATAGACCTTGACAAACATCTGTCTCTGACCTGGGTATAGACCTTGACAAACATCTGTCTCTGACCTGGGTATAGACCTTAACAAACATCTGTCTCTGACCTGAGTATAGACCTTGACAAACATCTGTCTCTGACCTGGGTATAGACCTTAACAAACATCTGTCTCTGACCTGGGTACAGACCTTGACAAACATCTGTCTCTGACCGACATCAACACGACACTTGCATCATGCTTCACTCATTGTTTCAGTACCTGTGCCGTAACGGGAATGAAGCTGTCCAGACAACGTTTGAGCTGGACGTTGTGACAAGTGAGTACCACGAGGACACAATGTCAGGTGACAACAAACACTCTGAAGTCCGTGCTGCCAGCGTGAAGCCTCTACGCCGCGGGAAGTTACATCTGAGAATGGCCAACATCGGACATCAAGGAGAAGTGAAGAGAATAGGGCATAGAACAGGTGAAAACAGCTTAGTCCTACAGGATGTAATGTAGCTGAAACACTCATGTGTACTGCCTGGTACCGATGTGTACAGCCTGATACTGATGTGTACAGCCTGATACCGATGAGTACAGCCTGATACCGATGTGTACAGCCTGATACCGATGTGTACAGCCTGATACCGATGTGTACAGCCTGATACCGATGTGTACAGCCTGATACCGATGTGTACAGCCTGATACCGATGTGTACAGCCTGATACCGATGTGTACAGCCTGATACCGATGTGTACAGCCTGATACCGATGTGTACAGCCTGATACCGATGTGTACAGCCTGATACCGATGTGTACAGCCTGATACCGATGTGTACAGCCTGATACCGATATGTACTGATACCAATATGTACAGCCTGATACCGTATGTACAGCCTGATACCGATGTGTACAGCCTGATACCGATGTGTACTGCCTGATACATATGTGCACTGCCTGATACTGATGTGTACAGCCTGATACATATGTGTACGGCCTGATACTGATGTGTACAGCCTGATACCGATGTGTACAGCCTGATACCGATGTGTACAGCCTGATACCGATGTGTACAGCCTGATACCGATGTGTACTGCCTGATACATATGTGTACTGCCTGATACATGTGTACTGCCTGATACTGATGTGTACAGCCTGATACCGATGTGTACAGCCTGATACCGGATGTGTGTACGGCCTGATACTGATGTGTACAGCCTGATACTGATGTGTACAGCCTGATACTGATGTGTACAGCCTGATACTGATGCGTACGGCCTGATACTGATGTGTACAGCCTGATACCGATGTGTACAGCCTGATACCGATGTGTACGGCCTGATACCGATGTGTACAGCCTGATACCAATGTGTACGGCCTGATACATATGATGTGTACGGCCTGATACTGATGTGTACAGCTGATACATATGTGATGATACTGATGTGTACGGCCTGATACTGATGTGTACAGCCTGATACTGATGTGTACAGCCTGATACCGATATGTATATTATATGCTATTATTCAGGGCTTGTGTCTGTCTGGTGAAGATCAGGATGATGATTGCTTTGTTTTTTATGGTGGCCTTAACGTCCAGCATTTTATTAGGTAGCCTCCATTTTAACATAGTTTTCTGTTTTCAGAAACTATTCCGTTACCTAGCAAGACACAGGTGATTATCTCCCAGACAGCAGGGAATTCCTCCTACAAGGGTGGGAGTCTGATTAGAGGAGAGAATGGTACGTGAAACCCTGCCTGTACCTACCTACATAGTGAATCCCTGTCTGTCCCTACCTACATAGTGAAACCCTGCCTTTACCTACCTACATAGTGAAACCCTGCCTGTACCTACCTACATAATGAAACCCTGTCTGTACCTACCTACATAGTGAAACCCTGTCTGTCCCTACCTATATAGTGAAACCCTGTCTGTACCTACCTCCATAGTGAAACCCTGCCTGTACCTACCTACATAATGAAACCCTGCCTGTACCTACCTACATAATGAAACCCTGTCTGTACCTACCTACATAGTGAAACCCTGTCTGTCCCTACCTACATAGTGAAACCCTGTCTGTACCTACCTCCATAGTGAAACCCTGCCTGTACCTACCTACATAGTGAAACCCTGCCTGTACCTACCTACATAGTGAAACCCTGCCTGTACCTACCTACATAGTGAAACCCTGCCTGTACCTACCTACATAGTGAAACCCTGCCTGTACCTACCTACGAGTGAAACCCCTGCCTGTACCCTACCTATGTAGTGAAACCTGCCTGTACCTACCTACATAGTGAAAGCCTGCCTGTACCTGTGAAACCCTGCCTGTACCTACCTACATAGTGAAACCCTTGTCTGTACCCCTTACATGCCTGCCTGTACCTACCTACATAGTGAAACCCTGCCTGTACCTACCTACATAGTGAAACCCTGCCTGTACCTACCTACATAGTGAAACCCTGCCTTTACCTACCTACATAGTGAAACCCTGCCTGTACCTACCTACATAGTGAAACCCTGCCTTTACCTACCTACATAGTGAAACCTTGTCTGCACCTACCTACATAGTGAAACCCTGCCTGTACCTACCTACATAGTGAAACCCTGCCTGTACCTACCTATGTAGTGAAACCCTGCCTGCCTGTGACCTACCTACCTATGTGATGCCTGTAAACCCTGCCTGTACCTACCTACATAGGTGAAACCCTGCCTGTACCTACCTGTGACCCTACATGTGAAAGCCTGCCTGTACCTACCTACATAGTGAAACCCTGCCTGTACCTACCTACATAGTGAAACCTTGTCTGTACCTACCTACATAGTGAAACCCTGCCTGTACCTACCTACATAGTGAAACCCTGCCTGTACCTACCTACATGGTGAAACCCTGCCTATACCTACCTACATAGTGAAACCCTGCCTTTACCTACCTACATAGTGAAACCCTGCCTGTACCTACCTACATAGTGAAACCCTGCCTTTACCTACCTACATAGTGAAACCTTGTCTGCACCTACCTACATAGTGAAACCCTGCCTGTACCTACCTACATAGTGAAACCCTGCCTGTACCTACCTATGTAGTGAAACCCTGCCTTTACCTACCTACATAGTGAAACCCTGCCTGTACCCACCTACATAGTGAAAGCCTGCCTGTACCTACCTACATAGTGAAACCCTGTCTGTACCTACCTACATAGTGAAACCCTGCCTGTACCTACCCATGTAGTGAAACCCTGCCTGTACCTACCTACATTGTGAAACCCTGTCTATAACTACCTATGGAGTGAAACCCTGCCTGTACTGTAGTGAAAATCTACCTGTAGCTACATATGTAGTGAGAGCCCATCTGCACCACAGGCCCTCATGTCTTTGCAAAGATTAAAAACAAAAATTTTTCCTTATCCTGACTCATGCTTATTGCTTGTCTTCTTCTTCTTGCGAACATAGTGGAACACGTGTATCTCCCAATCGAAGTTCCCTTCAATAAAAAAATCACTAATTAGTACTCACGAGTTACCTCCCTTCCACAAGCGCGGGGACGAGGGCGCCACCTCAACCCATGTGCCTCACTCTCTCCTTCTTCGCCCAGTGAGCTGGACGCGAGAGCACCTGTGTCTCCCGACACACTATATCCTTTATTTATATTTAGTTTAGTACCTCTTATATTCATTTATAGAGGTGTTACTAGTATCCTTTTTCAACTTGCATTGATTATTAGTCGTGTTTCTGCTGTTTTATTCACGGTTCGCCGTGTTTGTTCAGCAGTTTACGTTCATGAGAATCTGCACAGGTTGTAAACTACGTTATTCAGCTACCGATCCACATTTAAAATGCCCTAGTTGCATTACTCCATGTTCTATTGTTTCTCGTTGTAAATTATGTATTAATTTACCAATTTCTGCCTTTGATAAATATCTATGTTCCGTTTTGAGACGGAAGGCAGATAAATCTCGCAAACAATCTTCAGTCATGGCTAATAGATCGGAAGCTAATATACCATGTCAACTTTTGACTGACGACCAGCCGCCACCGGCTGGTGGCATGCCTGAGTTTCCCTCGGGGGATAAGCGTGGGACACAGTCCGCTATGTCCAAGAAGCGACCTGCATCTCAAGACTTTACGTCTTCCCAGTCTAAGACTAGGAAAGCATCCACATCATCTCAACGTACGCTGCGTACCCTCAGGTCTACAGCTTCGTCAAAAGGGAAATCTACAAAAGCTACAAATAATTCTGCCTCCGATATTCTACCTGTCTCAGAATTATGTTTGTATGATGACGACATTCCGATTATCATTCCAGATGTACGTCATAAGAAACGTCCAGTATCTGCTACAGTCACCACAGCGCAGATCAATACGCAACCAGAGATGCCTATGCTGACGCCGGAGATTATGATTGAGGGTCCCGTCACTTTAACAGAGAGGCCACCCTCAACGTCAGCGCAGACTGTCCCAGACGACCTGGTCAACCAAATCATGAGACTGATGGAGGACCGTTACGGTTTACAGAGGCCCCAGAGCCACGGGCCCCAGAGCCCAACCCATAATAAGTCATACAGGGCCCCAGAGCCCGCCTTGGCTTCGCGTAGGGCCCCAGAGCCCACAAACGCGCCTCCGCGAAGGGCAACCCAGCCCGTAGCGATCACTTCGCAAAGGAAGTCCCAGGCCGCCTCCGCGAAGGAGCTAGAGCCTCACCAGTTGCGAGGGACGTCGCGGAGAAGGAGCGCTTCGCCGAGCCCACACCCTGTTGAACACAGAGGTCGTTCGCGAAGCAAGCGCTCATATGTTGATTACGGACACTGACTCGATACATTCGCGAAGGTCGCGAAGGCTAAGTGGCTCCAAATCTACCTCACCCAGAAGATTTAGAAGAGCTTCGCGAAGTCCCCAGCGTTCGCCAAGGATGTCTCCTCCAAGGTCTCCTTACACTAGCCACTCGTCAGTCCGTTCATCACAGTCCTCTCATAGATCTTCCTATAGATCTAGGACTCCGACATGTGACCCTACATCAGAAGAGGAGGAAGGTATCACTTTCTCAGATGCTGAGATTAGATACTGGATGGTGAATGAGTTACAACTTGCTTTCCCATCGAAGAACGAGAATTCAACTCAGACTTACCTCATGAAGGATGATGATGTAGATAATTTCACCTTACCTCCTATTGACCCGATTGCAGCAGTACCAGCTAATCTGGATACAGCCTGTTCCAAATCCTCGAAAGCCCATACGCAGATCTGCAGACAATTCAATTACGGAATTGAACAGCAGCCTTGTTACAGCGAGTAAAACTCTTAATCATCAACGATTTCCTGAGAAGAAATATGTACAACAAGTTCAGCTTTAATTCTACAATTATGACAATACATTCATGTATACAGTCTACAAGCTGACAACTTCCAAGTTTTATTGAACATTTATATAAGGAAGTCGGAATTATCTTCAAGACTGAAGTTACTTTCACGACAGCCAGGAAAATAACCTACCCATCATTAATATTACAGAGCGAGGTATTTCGCGCCGGAGGTTTCGCGCGTTTACCATTAACCCTTGTAACACGTGGTCACTCGGGTAACTTCGGGAAGCTACGGTGAAGACCGACGATTGTTCTAATATCAACGACGGCACTATATTATACAAGGTTCCTTTTCCTGCTACACCGGTGACATCACAGCGCGGGTACTCTACAGAATCAAAAAGCCTTGTTCTGATTGGACCATGATGGACAACGCCCTACGCAGAGGTCGAGCATAGTTCACAGTTCAAGACATAGGTTGCAAGTGACAACATTATATCAGTGAACGAGCAAGCCTCCTTACAGTCCAGCTAATCTGAACCTTCATGATTGGCCTGCCTTCTTGAGGTTAGAGACCTCCCCTGTCAAGTATGGACGAGGGCACGGCAGTCAGGCGATTTTTTACATAAAGTTCAACAATGGCAGTCACCCTTGGTTGTGCACCTACATCGTCAAGGACTTCGCAGCGAATTTACCTCGATGATGGGATACAAGTGGATCCAAATCCACAGCGTCTCAAACTACAGTTGAATTTCATCATCAAGACCAAGAGATTGAATGTTTGCGCAGGCGTCTCCCTAGTAGAGCCGGAATCGGAAACACATCTCTACGTAGACGCGTCACTACAAGGTTGGGGAGCCCTGCCTGTGCCTACCTACATTGTGAGCCCTGTCTATAACTACCTATGGAGTGAAACCCTGCCTGTACTGTAGTGAAAATCTACCTGTAGCTACATATGTAGTGAGAGCCCATCTGCACCACAGGCCCTCATGTCTTTGCAAAGATTAAAACAAAATTTTCCTTATCCTGACTCATGCTTATTGCTTGTCTTCTTCTTCTTGCGAACATAGTGGAACACGTGTATCTCCCAATTGAAGTTCCCTTCAATAAAAAAATCACTAATTAGTACTCACGAGTTACCTCCCTTCCACAAGCGCGGGAACGAGGGCGCCACCTCAACCCATGTGCCTCACTCTCTCCTTCTTCGCCCAGTGAGCTGGACGCGAGAGCACCTGTGTCTCCCGACACACTATATCCTTTATTTATATTTAGTTTAGTACCTCTTATATTCATTTATAGAGGTGTTACTAGTATCCTTATTCAACTTGCATTGATTATTAGTCGTGTTTCTGCTGTTTTATTCACGGTTCGCCGTGTTTGTTCAGCAGTTTACGTTCATGAGAATCTGCACAGGTTGTAAACTACGTTATTCAGCTACCGAT